GTCTTGGCACTAAAGACCCACTGCCATCCCATGTTTCACTGGCCGCTTCTTTTTAAAGCTAGATGAAACGGTGTGTGATTAACCCGGTTTCTAACAATGCGCAGTGTTACTACTTAAGACTCTGTAGAGAAACAGCCACGTAACTGACGTGAGCTGGGTCACGGGGTGTTGTCACACACCCGCTTGCCTGTACTTTGCTCGACGTGAATATTTCTTGGATGAATGGGTTTTTAAGGCCACAAAGAAACGTATTCATCTGCATCACTGGATTTACAAGGATTTTTGCATGCCAGAAGCATGGGATGCATGAGCTTCACGTTATAGCCATTTACTTCTGAATGTGGCATTCGTTTTCTGAGGCAAAAATAAACAGAACTGTCTAAGTAACAAGCGGCTGTTGCATTTGTTAGCAACAAGCTTTGTGACCAGACAATGGCATTGTATTGTGCATTAGCAAACGGAACGCAGTTCTCCTGAGCAAGCCACATTCAAGCAGAACACCAGAATATTCTTTCCTGCCTTGCAGCTGGGTTTTCGGGAAGGTTTATTCTCTTCTTACTTCTCTTTAAAATTTTCTTCTAGGTTTTGTCCTTTTAGAAAGGCTTTTTAATCTCTCTTTGGGTGAAAAGAATATCGTGGTTGATAAATGGGTGTCAGTTTCCTCCTGTACCTCCCTCTCTTTATTATCATGTTTTAAAATTGAGGGTCTAGGTATGTTTTATAAATGAGGCAACTTTTGTCCCTGAATTTTTAGAGTAACTTAAATGTTATACACAAAATATAAAGTTTGAGGGTATTTATTTAAAAAGTAAAAATTTTCTTGGAAAATTAGGTCTTCCAAGCATGCATTTTCCTTAGGTATACCCACAAAACATCTTAGTTTGTAACAGACTAATTTTGGGACCAACTACATTTACCTTTATGATCCTACAAAGGAGTGTCTGAAATACTGTTTTTCCCTGTTGAGATAAATGCTAAATTAGTGAGTTCTTTGGGCAGGGCCTGTGTGTTGGCCAAGCGTAACACAAGTTCAGAAATCATTAACTGAAGTTAATGAAAATGGGATGGAAAGATGGCCGATAATACCTGACAGATCATCTTGAACAAGGTCATGTATTGACCTGAGGCCTGCCTGAGGCCTTTGTGTGAAGTACTTGAAAAGCTACTTCTAATAAAAATGTTTTATGGTACTGTGTCTTAGTTTTTTCAGTTAGTATGTGCAGCCTCCCGAGTACTGTGTTATGCATTTGCACATTTGACTAAGTGGGACTTGAGAGAGGCCATGACCATCCTAGGGAACCAGATGGAGGTCTGGGGTGTCCAAAACATTACTTAGCCTGCACTCAGGGGAACCAAGAGAAACAAGACAAATGCTCTTTTCTCATTGGTAGTTCCAAATCTAAGCCGGGTGTGGGCTGACTCCAGAGAGTGTGCCCAGATAGGTAGTTACCATGCCTAGAGAGGAACACTGTGTTTCTCTAGCAGTCCTCTGGGCCCTGAGCGTTCCTGACAGTCCTGCTGAACACATCTGCTTTGCACGAGAGATTCCACACTTGCCCCCTTTCCTCAGGCCTCTGATCACTCAGTCTTCCCTCCTCACTCTGTACAGACGACCTTGCTCTCCACTTGGACAGAACTGAATCCATATGAACAAACTGCTCTGGCTTCCAGCCACGTCTGCAAACTGCCTCAGATCCAGCATCTGCCTTCTCTGCCTCCCATGTTACTACAGTGGAGGAGGTGGCCTTTTTCCAAAGCTGATCTCCAATCTCTCCACCTGTGTCCTGGATTCCATTCCTGTCTGTCACCTTTCTCGACTTTTGTTTATTTATTTATTTTGCTCTGCTGCTCAAGCTGGAGTATAAGATCATCATTTGGTGCAGCCTCAAATTCCCAGGCTCAAGTGAACCTCCCTCCCCAGCCTCCTAGTATCTGGGACTACAGGCACACACTGTCACAGCTGGCCAAGTTTTTTAAAAACTTTTTGTAGAGATGGGGTCTTGTTATGTTGCCCAGGCTGGTCCCAAGCACTTGCCCTGAAGTGACCCTGCTGCCTCAGCCTCCCAAAGTGCTGGTATTACAGGTGTGAGACACCATGCCTGGCCACACCTCTCTACTTTTAACTGACTTCTTCTCATCAGCATTAGAACCAGCTCAATTCTCTCCCATTTAAAACAAAACAAAAACATGCCTTCCCTCACCTCAACCCTTGACTTCAGGTGTATATACACAGCCAGCCATGCTCTACAAGGTGTAATGCTCAATGTTTAGTTTTTTTTTTTTTTTTTGAGATAGAGTCTGTCTCTGCTGCCCAGGCTAGAGTGCAGTGGCATGATCTTGGCTCACTGCAACCTCCACTTCCTAGGTTCAAGCGATTCTCCTACCTCAGCCTACGGAGTAGCTGGGACTACAGGTGCCTGCCACCATACGTGGCTATTTTTTGTATTTTTAGTAGAGACAGGGTTTCATAGTATTGGCCAGGCTGGTCTCAAAAACTCCTGACCTGGTAATTCACTGTCCCCGGCCTCCCAAAGTGCTGGGATTACAGGCATGAGCTACCACACCCGACCATGTTTATGAGTTTTTAAAAATTAATTTTGTATGAGTTTTTTGCTTTTGTTTTAAATGATATATCAACTTAAGGAAACGAACCACTGTTACTGGTTTTAAATAAGAAAAATTTGCTTGAGGTGGCATAACTTGTAAGTAACGGAGCCAGGTTCTAACCTAACTCTGATTGTAGACTCTCCTGAAAACTCTCCACCGGATTTGACCTGGGAGTCACTAGTGATTTTGAGAGCAGCAGATTTGGTGGTGGGATGGTTAGAAGCCAGATAGGAGTCCTTGGCGAGTAGGATTTGAGGATGCTCTCATCCTGTTTTCCTTCTCAGCCCCAAATTCTAGAAAGAACACAATACCTGATACATATTAGCAAAGTGTAGCATTTGAAAATTCTGTGATCCATTCGCCTGGTTTAATGAGTGTCTTCTGTGCTGCCAGCCACTGTAGGTGCTGGGGATATAGCAGTGTATAAAGAGATAAACCCCTGTTTTTATGAGGATGCGTTCACGACCTCCCTTGTCAGTGTCTCTTCCCCTTTACTCTTAAGGGTAAGGTTTACCTCACTTGTGTCTGGGATTGTTTGTTTCCTCCTGAGTTGTCTCACACACTCCCATGTTGTCATTTACTGTCCCAGAGCTGAACGTTTCTGAACTGTAGACTTTCTCCTCTTAGGTAGCTCGGAAGGCTGTAGACTTGTTTTGTCTGTTTTGTCTTTTACTGTCTAACAAACTACCCTAAAACATAGTGTCTCTAACAACAGTCATTTATTTTGCTCATGAAGCTGCAGTCTGGGCAGGGTTTGGGAGTAATGACTCTTCTCTGTGTCACGTGACATCAGTTGGAGTGGCTTGACTGGGGCAGGACAGTTTACTTTCAGGATGGTGTTCTCACACGGTGCCTTGTTGGTGCTGCTGAATATGGGCTTGAGATCTCAGCCAGAGATGTGCTCTGGGGAGCGAGCCATGGTTCCTCTCCATATAGATCTCTGCAAGGACTGATGGTTTAGGCTTCCTCAAAGCATGGAAGCCTCGGGGCAGGTAGGCCACTTACGTGGTGACCCAGAGCTCCAAGTCCTTGGTCTTTTACGACCTAGGCTTGGAAGTCATAGCATCACTTCATCATAATCATAAGGCCAACCAGATTCAAGAAAAGGAAACACGCATTCTCCTTTCCAGAGGGAGGTTGTCAGAGGGGCATTGTAAAAAGATCATGTGACATGGAAGACATTGCAGCCATTTTTGGAAAATACCATCTGCCACATTGTCCAGAGTTGAGTTAGCATCTTCCACGAACCTGCTTTTTCTCCATAGTTTTTTAATCCCCTCCTAGGCCAATTCTATAGTAATTGGCCCCACCATCCCCTTGGCTGCTCACGTTGGAAACCTGGGAGCCATATTTCATAGCTTTTAGTTCCTCAGCAACCTGCCCTCTACCCTGCCCAGCCAGTCTCTGGGTCCTGAAACCCTCTGGTCCTCTCCACTGGCCTGCCGTAACCCTGGTGTAGGCAATCATTATCTCCCTCCTCAGTTGTACTGCAGTGGTCTTCCAGCTGGTCCTCCTTCTAGCATTTGTCCTTCTTCCAACCTATATTTTATCCTGCTTCCTATGTAATCATTAAAGATACAAATCCATTTATGGCACACTCCTGCTTAAAACCTATTAAAAGTGTTCCAGTACTCTTGGGCTAGAGATCAGAGTCCTTTCTCTGGCCTGAAAGGCTGTGCACCTTGTGGCTCCTGCCAGCGTCAGAGTTCCTTTGGATCTTTTAGCTCTTTTTGCACCTGCTCCAACAGCCGTCCTTCAGTTCCCCGAAAGCTCTGTTCTCTTTCCTGCCTGTTTCTCACTTTCACACTAGCTATACTTTCTGCCATACTCGTTATTCATGTTGGTTTGAATATCATTTCCTCAAAGAAGCCTGAGTTTGAATCTCCTGCTAAACATTGAGTGGTGTCTGCACATTTCCGTTACAGCCCGTGTTATAGGTGCTTGTGCTCTTTTTGGATTTCTTACTTGCTAGACTGTAAAAGGTCTATGAGGGCCAACAATTGGTCTTCAGTCTGAAACGCCTAGCCAGTGTCTTGACACATAACTAGCACTCAGTACATGCCTATGAGTAAGTATGTGTATGTACACATTCATATAAAGATTTTAAAAAAAATACCCAGATTTGTGAGTGCATTTGTACAGAGGTTTTTTTTTTTTTTTTTTCCTTCAATGTTTTACCCTTGGGTATCATTTGTCAGTGGTATATTTAGAAATTAAATTTAGAAACGATTGGCGTTTGTATTTGTGAGTATGCATATGTGTTTATTGTGGATTCTGTTCTGTTACTTTGTTTAATATGCACTTGGTTCAGAATGCCCATGGCAGACACCGAGTTGGTGTGTCCTTTCATGCCTTGTCCTCTGACCGGCTACTGTTCCTCACTCCTATTCAAGGTAAAGAAACAGCGGCAATGAAAGCTGATCTTCTGAGGGCCAGAAACATGAAGAGGTACATCAACCAACTGACTGTGGCAAAGAAGCAGTGTGAGAAGAGAATCCGAGTCCTGGGAGGCCCTGCCTATGACCAGCAAGAGGATGGGGCCCTGGATGAGGGAGAAGCATCTCAAACCCAGAAGGTAGAACAGTTTCTTGTTTTGACCCTACCAAGTTTATTATAAATGCTGATAGAACCACATATAAAGACTTTCAACTTTGTGGTATTGAACTTAAGACATGTATACCATAGCTACACACTCACATATTTCCTTTATGAGTCAAGGAGCTATATTCCTTGGTGTCCTTGACTTCTGTGGGTGGTAATAGGATAGACAGGCACTGGGTGTGTGCATGTGTGAACATTTGTCCAACTTCCCTTTGTCCTCCCCGAAAAGCATATGTATATTTACAAGAGTCCAATCAAGTTTCCCATTATCAGTTAGATAGAAATAACACCTGTGAAGTAGGAGGCATCTTCTAAATTATTTTACTTAACTCTTGCCACAATATTATGAAATTTCCACTTGATATCTTCATTCTTCAGGTGATAAAATGCTGGATTTAATGGAGTTATTTTGGATCTTCTAGCTCCTTTTGCACCTGCAAAAAGGTTAAGTAACTTGCCTAAAACCACATAGATGGGAAAAGGTAGAACTAGATAAAAACCCGGGTCTGGTTGGTTTGCAAATTTTGAGTATTTTCTCACTGAACCATAACATCTTTTTTGACTGTTTTCTTGCTGTAAAACTTCAGACTGTCTGTAGATACCAAGCTCTTAAAATCACGGAGCTCAGGAAAGTGTTTTAGTCTTACCTCAGCACCTGTCCTAACTGAAAAACCAGACTTGTCTCCGAAGACCTGGAGCATACTAAGATAGAAGGAACCAGCCCCATTACCCACTCAGGAGCTTAGCTTTGCAATGGGAAGGAATAGGACCTCACGGCAGATGCCAGACTCCTCTCCTGTTATGTGTCCTTTAGCCACAAAGAGGCCAACATTGGTCTAATTTAACTCAAGCTACAGCCTCTAACCTCACTCGTTCTGATTTTCAGTCTTTGATTCTTTCCTATTTAGCTCTCAGTTTGACTTCAGCTGCTCATGTGTGACGTCCCCTGCCCTCCTATTCCAATGATAAGCCTTGACTTTCTTGGTTCTGGCCAGTCTCTGTTAGAGCCTCTGCGGGAAGGGCCTGCCCCAGCATAGGCCAGGATTCTACAGCATCTTACACAGGTGGCGCAGCTCCGAGGAGCTCTTGTTTTTATAAAGAGATTGTCTAACCACAGGAGGTCTATTTATGTTGCTATTAGCAAAATAAAATAAAAATAAATAAAAATTTTGAGATATTGGCTTTGTGTTGCAAATGGAAATGTAACATTTTGGTGAATCAGAGAGACGGTAGATTTGACAAGTTGAATATTGCCCCCTTCCACCTCGTCCTTAGCTTTTTGGTTTTGGCCTCTTAGATTAATGTCTTTGTCTTATGTCTCATTCATTCATTCAACGGACATTTACTGAGGGCCCACGATGTCTCGGTTATAGTGCTAGATAGTAGGATTAAAAATAAATAAGATAGAATCCCTGCTCTCAAAGAGCCCACCTAACTATAAAATAAAAAGGTAAGTGATCCAGTAGAGATATGAGATAAATACCTGGAAGTACATAATGGCTTGCTACCTGGTCAAAAGATGCTCTGCTTTTAGATGCTGGGGTGTAGGAAAATCTCAGTGGGACTGCAGCACAGGTTGTCTGTCTGGCATGTCTACTAGAAGTAGACTTAATCCAGAGTGCCAGATCCATTTTGATTCGTTCTTTTCAGACATTCAGGAACAGAGAAACTCATTTCTCTTGCAATAATTTATCCTTGGAGTAAAACAGTTTCCTCTAGTTTTCAGGAAGGAGGGCTAAGGTAAGACAGAATTGCATAGTTATGGTCAATTGCAATTTGAAAGGTAAGACTTTGGTTAGTTTGGGGACATTCTGATGTCCTCATGAGTGGGAAGAATGCTTTTACTATGACATAATCGTATCTGATCCAGAAGAATTACCATTAACTTTATTTCAGAATTGAGACTTCCAAATTAGGTTAATCCTCCAATTTAAAAAAAAGTTTCAGAGTGAATATTTTAAAGGCAAGACATTTTTATGTTGTTTATAAGAAACTAAACATAAAGGCACAGATAGGTTGAAAGGAAGAGGGAAAAAGACATGCCATGCCAATACTGCACGTAAGAGATCTAGAGTAGTGCTGTGAATGTCACAAAATAGACTTCAGAACAGGGAGTGTAACTAGAGATGAAGAACATTTCATTACGATAAAGAAGTCAGTTCATTAGGAAGATATAATAATCAAATGCTCTCAGTGAATAAAGAAAGCTTTAGTGTACATGAAGCAAAACCTGACAGAAATGAGAAAAAAATCCACAAGTATAGTTGGAAATGTTAACACTCCCTCTCAGTTGTATCAGTAATAGGAGGATCTGGAAAATTCCAGAATATTTGGAAATATTAATAGTATATCAAAGTAAGGTTTCCATTGAAGAAGAAATCATAAGAGAAATTTGGACGATTTTGAAGGGAGTGAGAATGCAGTATATCAGTCATTTGTGGGCTATGTTGTGCAGTTAAACCAGCACTTAGCGGAGTTACACACAGTTGGCCCTTGAACAGTGCAGGAGTTAGGAGTGCTGACCCTCCCCTGAGCAAAAATCCACATGTAACTAACTATGGAGTCTCCAAAAGCTGACCTGCTCATATCCTACTATTGACTGGAAGCCTTACCAATAACAGTCAGTTAACACAGATCTTGCATGTTATACGTATTGTATATTGTACTGTTACAATAAAGTGAGATATAAAGAAAAATGAAAATGTTATTAAGAAAATCATAAGGAAGAGAAAATATTTTCACTGCTCATTAAGTGGAGGTGGATCATCATAAGGGTTTTCATCCGCATCATCTTCACGTTGTCTAGGCAGAGGAGGAGGAAGAAGAGGGGTTAGTCTTCTGTTTCAGGAGCAGCAGATGTGGAAGAAAATCTCGTACAAGTGGACCTGTGCAGCTCAAATTCATGTCGCTTAAGGGTCAACTGTACTTTTTAATGCTTATAGTAGAAGAGAAGAAAGGTACGAAATCAGCGATCCAGTCTTTTAAGAAGCTATCAATTGGCCCAGTGAGGAAGCTCATGCCTGTAATCCCAGCACTTTCACAGGTGAAGACAGGAGGATTGCCTGAGGCCAGGAGTTAGAGACCAGCCTGGGCAACATAAGACTCCCCTCTTTAAAAAAAAAATAAAAAATAAAAAAAATTTAAAAGAAGCTATAAAAACTAAAATAACTAGAAGGAAGAAAAGAGAGAAGATACAAATTACCATTATTAGGAATGAAATAGGACATCACTACAGATGCTACATACATTCAAAGGATGCTAGGGAATAATGTGGAAAACTTTAAGCCAATGAATTTGACAATTTAAATGAAATAGACAAATTCCCTGGAAGACACAAATTACCAAAACTGATTAAAAAAGAAATAGAAACTCTGAGTAACCCACAATTTATTGAAGAAAATGATAATAATTTAAAACTTTCCCACAAAACTCCAGACTCAGATCATACACTGGTGATTTTTTTTTGTTTTGTTTTGTTTAGAGATAGTCTTGCTCTGTTGCCCAGGCTGGAGTGCAGTGGTGCTATCTCGGCTCACTGCAACCTCCACCTCCCAGATTCAAGCACTTCTCCTGCCTCAGCCTCTGGAGTAGCTGGAATTACAGGAATGCACCACCAAGCCCAGCTAATTTTTACATTTTTAGTAGAGGCAGGGCTTCACCATGTTGGCCAGGCTGGTCTCAAACTCCTGACCTCAGGTGATCCACCCTCCTTGCCCTTCCAAAGTGCTGGGATTACAGATGGGAGCCACTGTGCCCAGCCTCACTAGTGAATTCTATAAAATATGTAAGGAAGAGATAATACCGATCTTAACCATCCTCTCTGATACCAAACTAGAGGGAAGAAAACTACAGAATGGTGTCCCTCATGACATCTGACAGAAAAGTCCTTAACAAATACTCTAGTAAATCAGATCCAGCAGTCTGTAACTCACAAAGATAACGTCAGTATCTGTTCTGCCGACAGTGGGTCCTCCGTATAAACAGTGTCTACTTCATTTCTTTGCAGTGCTATTATTAGGCTCAATGGAATATTTATTTTTTAAACAGCTTAATTAAGGTATGACATGCAGTATACCGTGCTTATATTTAAAGTGTACAGTTTGATAAGTTTTGACATATGCATACATTCAGTGAAACCATTACCACAATCGAGATAATAAACATCTTGCTCTGTTGCCCAGGCTGGAGTGCAGTGGTGCACCCACAAAACTTTTTTGTGTTCTTTGTAATTTCTCTTTGGACCCCAGTTGAGAATCACTGCTAATCCTTTTATCCATATTTATATAATTAGAAAGTGACCTCTTAACTATTCTGATTTTTGGCACTTACCGATGCCTTCTCTTTCTCCTGGTTCAGGCTCCTTCTGATTAGTTTGTATTGTTGTCTTTCATGATTCAGAACAGTTATTATTAGTAAGTCTCAGAACAACCTGTAAATTAGGTGGTATTCACATTTTATGGGTGAAAAAACTGAGGCTCAGAGTGATGGAGTAACATACAGCTCACAGAATGGGAAGTAGCAGAGTCAGGATCAAACTTACGTATATCCAGCTCCAAAGCCTGAGCAACTTTAACTGCACACTGTTTGCTTCCGATCTTGCTTTATTTTGAAAACAAAAAAGTCTGCTGTGTTGCCTTATTTTTTTTTGCAAGGTAGCACCCCTGCCACACCAGTGGCCCCAAACTGGAAAGATGGTAGGAAGAGTTAAAACAAAGGTTGAAGAGGAAATAGAAATAAGAGTACATGGAGTTTGGAAATCAGTGGCAATAAATGGCAGCTCTTTTCTGTAAGGACAGTTTGCATATCAGTTTACTTATTCAGATAGATCCAAGGTGTATCCAAAGTGAATCCTGTGTAATGCAGCCCAGGACTCAGCCTGAGCGTGCGAGTGTGTCCTGGCCCTGTCTGCCGATGCTGGAGCTGTTGGCCCATCTTCCCTAGCCAAATCCATGTGGGATCCTTCAACTCTCTTTGGAGCATGTACAGTTAGAATTTTGTGCTTCAAAATGCTTCTCTGGTAGAGTTTACATAAAGAGAAATGTTACAGTGTTCCACAGCTAGTAAACTGAATATTATTGGTTGGAAATATTTACGAAAACAAATATTAATGGTCTGTAGTAAAGGACATCCATGTCCTTAAATTAGTACCAGGAGCTGTTAGAAAATCCCTGCTCTGGCAACCTACAGAATGGGAGAAAATTTTTGCCATCTGCCCATCTGACAAAGGTCTAATATCCAGAATCTACAAGGAACTTAAACAAATTTACAAGAAAAAAAACATCAAAAGTGGATGAAGGATATGAACAGACACTTCTCAAAAGAAAACGTTTATGTGGCTAGCAAACATGAAGAATATCTCATCATCACTGGGCATTAGAAAAACACAAATCAAAACCACAATGAGGTGCTATCCATACCAGTTATAATGGTGATTATTAAAAAGTCAGGAAACAACCGATGCTCGTGAGGCTGTGGAGAAATAGGAATGCTTTCACACTGTTGCTGGGAGTGTGAATTAGGTCAGCCATTGTGGACGACAGTGTGCGGTGGTAATTTCTCAAGGATCAAGAACCAGATTTACCATTTGGCCCAGCAATCCCATACTGGGGATATACCCAAAGGATTATAAACCATTCTATTATAAAGACATGTACATATATGTTTATTGTAGCACTGTTTACAATAGCAAAGACTTGGAACCAACCCAAATACCCATCAATGATAGACTGGAAAAAGAAAATGTGGCACATATATACAATGGAATACTATGCAGCCATAAAAATGAATGAGTTCATGTCCTTTGCAGGGACATGGATGAAGCTGGAAACCATTATTCTCAGCGAATGAACACAGGAACAGAAAAGCAGGCGCTACATGTTTTCACTCACAAGTGGGAGACGAACAATGAGAACACATGGACACAGGGGAACATCACACACCCATGCCCTGTCAGGGGGTAGGGGACTAGGGGAGGGAGAGCGTTACGACAAATACCTAATGCATGTGGGACTTAAAACCTAGATGATGGGTAGATAGGTGCAGCAAACTACCATGGCACGTGTATACCTATGTAACAAACCTGATGTTCTACACATGTATCCCAGACGTGAAGTAAAATTAAAAAAAAAAAGGTACTGGAAAATCTGAATGGACCCTCTGCTGGAAGCATTATGAAAAGTAAACAAACGGATATACTGCATCATTCTCAGGAAAAAAAAAAGTCTATCCCTTTTTGCCCACAAAACAGATTAAGCAATGGGCTGGCCCATTGTTGGTGTCGGAGGAGTTGGGTTTGAGTGTCATATGCCCTTGATTTGAGAAAGATCTTACTGGTAACATTTCTGAAAATTTGCCAACTGTCATAATATTAAGAATTTCAAAATGTTAAGTTTTTCTTTAATTGCATTTGAGTTCTAATTGCATGTAATTTTTTATTACTAATTCAGAACTAAGAATATCAGCCTTAAATTCCAAGTGAATTAATTTGAGGCATTTTTCCTCATTAACTGAGTCATGAATAATTATGAAGGTCATCTGCTTTCTATTATTACACCAGTCCATACTCCATTGTTTCTTCTGTATCTTCAGATAGGTTGTTTTTTCTTTTCCTCTGAGTATTCAGAATAGTAAACAAAAGAAGTAGATGGTACATCCATATGTAGCAGGAGCGGCCACGGGAAAGGATCTCTCGGACACCGAATACAGGAGGAAAGAATTTATTTCAGCTGGGAGCAAGGTGGCATAGGTGCCTAACTGCCAAGCTCGTCTAACAAAGGGAGGTTCAGCCTTCATATAGGCTTATACTTTAGATGTTACACATGGAAGAATCTTAGGTTCATAGTTTTAGGACTCACATGTGAAAAGGTTTCTGATTTGATCTTGTTTTAAGTAAAAATAGTGCCTTCTGGAGAGTTTCCCCAAGGCCTAGCCTGTTGTTTTCAGAAACGAGATTCAGGAGGGGCCAGCTGGCCTGCTCTCTATTTTATTGAGATGCACAGTGGGTGACAGAAGGGGAGGGAATCCCAAATGCCTGGGTCTCCCTCCTCACATAGAGAGGAGTTTTATGGGCCTATTAAAAGGATGCTTACGGAAGATTTTTTAATGAATATGGTATCATAAACCAACATATAACATTATTTGTAGATTCCTCAGCCATATAAAAATAAGATGGAAAACAAAAATGTGAAACTATTAGATGTGAATGGTCTTTTATAAATTTCTCTTCAATTTCTCCATTATTGGCACTTCCCGCTTTTAGTATAGAATATACATCTGATAGGGCAGAGACTTTTATATTTCATTTCCCAGAACTGTACCTGATACCAAGTAGATGCTGTGAAAGGAAGGTAACTCGACACCCTAATTCATGATGCCAAGTGAAAAAAATTAAGCTGAACGTCCATTCATGCAGGAAGCTGCCTTTCCTTTTGTTCCTAGGCAGAGAGCTGACAGATAAAACGTTAAGTATCTCCATGGGTAGCTACTCTGTTTGCCTTATTCTCCTGTAAAGTGCTGGTGTACTGAGTGCCGGAGGAATGCATAATTGACTATTACCCTGCCTGCTCCTTTTGCTTACAACATGTGGATTACCATACCCTCCTCCTCTCCCCTCCAGCCCACTTTTTCCCTTTAAATATTGAAGCACTCAAAGTCCTCTTTGGAGAAAGGCTCAGACCACAGACTGTTTCTGTGACTGTGTGTTTATTTCTTCCAGGCATGTCCTTAATCTTGGCAAAATAAACTTCTAAACTGATTGAAAAGTATCTGAGACAGGTCTTTTGCAATGCCAAATAAATCTTTGTTGAATGAGTGAATGGTTCATAGGAAATGAGTATTTTTTCAATGTGTGCATTTTGAATATTCAGTAAACTTTATTCCATTTAAAATGTAGTAAGCGATATTTCCGTTTACCAGGAGTACTATATTACATCGACTCCGACCGTAAAAAATGCATTTTTTCAGCTCAACATCACTGATCTTTAGAGAAATGTACATCAAAATCACAATGAGGTACCATCTCATGCCAGTCAGAATGGCAGTTATTAAAAAGTAAAGAAACAATAGATGCTGGTGAAGCTGTGGAGAAATAGGAACACTTTTACACTGTTGGTGGGAATGTAAATTACTTCATTCATTGTGGAAGACAATATGACGATTCCTCAAGGATCTAGAACCAGAAATACCATTTGACCCAGCAGTTCCATTACTGGGTATATACCCAAAGGAATATAAACCATTCTACTGTAAAGACACATGTACACCTGTGTTTATTGCAGCACTGTTTACAGTAGCAAAGTCATGGAAGCAACCCAAATGCCCATCAGTGATAGACTAGATAAAGAAAATGTGGTACATATGCACCATGGAATACTACCTAGCCATAAAAAGGAATGAGATGTCCTTTGCAGGGACATGGATGAAGTTAGAAGCCATCTTCCTCCACAAAGTAACATAAGAACAGAACCAAACACTGCATGTTCTCAGAAGTGGGAGTTGAACAATGAGAACACATGGACACGGTGGGGGAACATCACACACCAGGGCCTATTGAAGGGTAAGGGAAAGGGGAGGGTACCTAGAAGGGAAGGGTCACTAGGTACAGCAAACCACTATGGCACACATATACCTATGTGACAAACCTGCACATCATGCACAACTATCCCAGAACTTAAAAATTACTACAACAAAATTTTACTTTATTCCTTTAAAAAATACATTTTTACCCTAAATGTAGAAATTAGTTCATTGGAAGTTAAAGCAAACTGACAATTAAAATCAGATTTTAAAAAACGTTTTCTTAAATTCTCTTAATAGATTCTTCAGTTTGAAGATATCTTGGCCAATACTTTCTACCGAGAGCACTTTGGAATGTACATGGAAAGGATGGACAAGAGAGCTCTGATTAGTTTTTGGGAATCTGTGGAACATTTAAAGAACGCTAACAAGGTAGTATATACATAGGCTGAAAGGAATATTAATCACCAGCTGATGTAAACTTGGCGTGTGAAGCAGTGTATCTGTTTTTCTTAAGATAAAAGAATGTTTTAAAATAAATATAATGACATTATGTTCTAGCCCATAATAGCAAATAAAATTACATTATATTTTTACGGAAGACACTTTTGAATGTGTAGTCAAGGAAAAAAGGATTTATAAATGTACCAAGAGACTGAATTTAGTTTGGGTTATTTTTTTTTACACGTTATAAAAAGGCATATACATATTCACATTGCTGTTATAATGAATTTGGTCTTGTCACTGCCCTTCAGTCTCTTAATCTTGCCATTTATAGTATCATAACATGCATGTTTTATACTTTGCCTTTTACTTGTTTTTTGTTTTGTCTGTTTTTCTGAACGGAGCCTCACTCTTTTACCCAGGCTGGAGTGCAGTGGGGCGATCTTGGTTTATTGCAACCTCCACCTCCCACTTCAAGCCGTTGACCTGCCTCAGCCTCCCGAGCAGCTGGGATTATAGGCACGTGCCACCACACCCAGCGAATTTTTGTATTTTTAGTAGAGACGGGGTTTTACCATGTTGGCCAGGCTGGTCTCAAACTCCTGACCTCAGGTGATCCTTCTGCCTCGGGCTCCCAAAGTTCTGGGATTACAGGTGTGAGCCACCGCACCCAGCTTGTATTTTAATTTAAATATGACTAAAGGAAAATAAAAATATTTTTGGGTACATATCTTACAATGAAGAACCCAGTAATCAGCATTGTACTTTGCATTTGGCAATATATGTTTAAGAATTATATGTACATATTCTTTATATATACAGTCAGCCTTCCTTACGTGTGGGTTCTCTATCTGTAGATTGAACCAACCATCGACTGAAAATATTTGGGGGAAAAAACTGCATATGTACTGAACATGTACAGACCTTTTTCCTTGTCATTATTTTCAAAGAATACAAAATAACCATTTGCAGAGCATTTACATTATATTAGCTATAAGTAATCTGGAGAGAATTTAAAGTGTATGAGAGAATGCTCATGTACTTTATGAGTAGCTTATATGCAGAAACACTGCACCATTTTATATCAGGGATTTGAATGTCCTCGGAGCTTGGTATCTTCAGGAGATCTTAGAACCAATCTTTCATAGATCCCGAGGGACAATTGTATATGTGTATATATGTCTATAAACGTACACAGTAATATCTATAACATATGACATATGTGACTAGTATATATTACTGTGAGAGGTTTATTAAAATAAGCACCAAGAGGCCGGACTCAGTGGCTTACGCCTGTAATCTCAGTACTTGGGGAGGCCGAGGTGGGCGGATCACAAGGTCAGGAGTTCAAGACAAGCCTGGCCAACATGTATTTTGGATTTTAGTAGAAACCCCGTCTCTACTAAAAATACAAAAGTTAGGTATTGTGATGCACGCCTGTAATCCCAGCTACTTGAAGTGGGAGCATTGCTTGAACCTGGGAAGGTGGAGGTTGCAGTGAGATGAGATCACGCCACAGCACTCCAGCCTGGGTGACAGAACAAGACTCCATCTGGGGGGCAGGGGAAGGCACCAAAAGGATTTTGTACATTGAATGACTCGTTCACATAATAATGTTGCTAGAATAGACTGCCAATTTACAATGTATTGTTAGTCACAACTTATACTTGTTAAGGAACTAAATCCAGCCCTGCAGTATCTTTCAATCTTCCTAGGAATGTCTTTATTGTTGATTTACAAGCCCCAAATTACCTCGTTTTTACCCAGTATTGTATTTACCAACTCTGTTATTCATTTTAATCACCAGTTTTGATTCCAAATGACTTCTGGTTGCTCTCAAAGGAATATTGTGAAGAGCAATCTAAAGAGTTTTCCTATTCGAGGGACCAACGAGATGGAAAATGAACAGGGACATCTATGATTAGAACTCAGACCTGGAACAAGTAAACTCAGTGAATATTTATAGAATTCTTCACTCCAGGTCCACAGAACATACATTTTTCTCAGTATCACATTACACCTATTTTAAAAGTGACCACATAATTGGAAGTAAATCACTCTTCAGCATTTGCATAGCATTTTTAAATGAAATATTGGTTGGCTGTTTGTTATTTTCTTCCCTTATTCCTTCTTGTTTCTGCTATTAAGCACAATTATCGACATAAAAGAGGTTTTTAATACCTATTTTTAGATTGCATTCCAGCCTGGGAAATAGAGGAAGATTCCTATTCTCTCTCCCCCCCTTTCTCTTTCTCCAGAAAAAAAAAAAAAAAAAAGAGTTTTCCTAAACTATGAAAGACAATTTGAAAAATTTCAATGGGATTATAAGAGCATATAGCTAATTCTAAATAGCCTTATTTTGATCTAGCAACATTGATTTAGATGTAAACATTCTGGAATGTATGTTAAAGTAGTTACGTCATTAAGTTGTATGTCTTTGCCCTTTACTACTCTTTGAAAACTTTGCATAACATTCCTAGAGTTAAAGAAATGCCTTTAGAGGAACTGTAAAGATTTTATTAATCAGGAGAGATGTTTTGCATTTCTGAAATAGGCTGGTGATGAGCCAGGCCCATTGCTGAAGACAAAGCTGTCTAATAAAGCACGACTAGGAAATAATCATTCTGAAATGGTCATTCTGAAGAGTGTTTTTCTTGTTTTTTTTTGAGTTACACAATTATTATATTTACCTCTTTCTGGGATAAGAAATGATATTAACTGATACATTTTTTTCTTGTGGAATTGAGATTTATGAAAGGAATCCACTGCAGGGAGAGAACTGGTCTTATTCTTCCCCCACCGCTTCCAGTGTTTAAAAGAAGCTGCAGCAGCTGCGTGTCCATGTTCATTCAAGGAACCAGTTGTTTTTTTCAGGATCTGACATTTTCCCCTTGACCCTGAATATGGACACAAAACTCTAAATACCAGGGTGCATCTTAAATGTCTTTCTTCTGACTTTCAAATACAAAGAATTCAGAGGAAAATAATTTCTCTCAGAGACGATATGTCTTACTTTTCTTTTTTTATCTTCCTGTCTTTTCAGAATGAAATTCCGCAATTAGTTGGTGAAATTTATCAGAATTTCTTTGTGGAGAGCAAAGAAATATCTGTGGAAAAATCGCTTTACAAAGAAATTCAGCAGTGTCTTGTAGGAAATAAAGGTATTGAAGTGTTCTGCAAAATCCAGGGAGACGTTTATGAGACCCTAAAGGATAGGTATTACCCTTCATTTATTGTCAGTGACCTGTATGAGAAATTGTTGATAAAAGAGGAAGAGAAACATGCCTCGCAGTTGATTTCCAACAAGGATGAGATGGTGAGTCACGTTTAACTTTCTGCTCCTTTTTAGTGGATAAGCTTTTAAATATGTGTAGGTGGGTGCATGTTGTGTGAGCCAAATGTGATACACATCCTTTTAATATACAAGACCATAAATAGAATAAAAAACAAGCATTAATAACCTTGTTACCTTTGGTCTTACGTATTTCTTTTTTCCCCTTTTATCCTCTGACCTACATGTTCCCTCCTGCTGGCACCGAGTCACAGACCTCCTGCCCTCTGTCTGTTTTAGACACACCCCTGGTTTGGCTCTGGAAAAGTGAAGGCAGAAAGTCTGTGGGGTGGGATATTTATGGCTTAGACCAGCTAAGAAAATGAGCAGAACTATAGTCTAGCCCTGGAAGAGAAGGGATGGGGAAAAAATGAGGAACAGTAAGGAATGTGGGAGGAGTTATAGGAAATATTTTGGAGTTGAAAGAAGTCAGAAGAAATTAAAATGCTCCAAAAGACAGCTTGTTAATATAAAAGTTAAAGAAAGGAAAGAAACACATAAAGCAGCCCAACAGTCAAAGACAGGTTTATTTGGAGAATGAATCTGAGAGGGGCTTCTGGCCAATTTCGGTTAGGAGCGGTCTCTCTTACAGACTTGGAATGTTTCTGTGTAGAGGAGAAGTTTATTGCAGGGTTGGAATGTCTGTGGTTGGAGGGGAGGTTATCTTGGCCTGACATCTCTCTGGCTGGAGGGGAGGTAATCTCTCCCTGTCTCTGGTCAGGGAGGGATTTATCTTAGGGTTGGAATGTTTCCGGTTGGAAATGTCATTTGTGGTTCATGATCATACTGACCTTAGCTATTAGGCTGATGCCCTTTTGATTTAAGCAGTTTTGATCAAGGGGATCTTTACAATGGCAGTGCTTATCCAAGATGGTGGTGCTCCTGCTCTGTCAATCCAGACTCTAGATAGAAAAAGGACAAGGGGCAGTATGTTCTTTCTGGCTACTTCCTGCTGATGAGGGGATGGAGAGTTTTCTGGTCTTGGATTGACTGTAGGAGTAATGCCATCTGTAGATGTTTTGGGGTAGTTATCTGTGAAATGGCCATAATCCTGTCAGTTAAAAATCTTTGAAAAAGGTTAATTAGGGTAAGAACATTAGTCCTAGGCATATTATTAGGGGAGGGCTTAGGAATGATATTATGCTATGATTTTGTTCCCAAACAAGAATCCGTTTGGTTGTTGTGATATTCCCTTAGCTTTTTAGCATTTCTTTAAGCCCAATTGATTGAGACAGAAACAACATCCCCCACCCAATGAAAGGCAGAGGTGCATGTTTGGAAAGGCCTATGTGTAATTTTCTGTTAATTACTGTTACCAAAAGACAAATCATTATAGGACTATTTTTCTATGACCACTGGTACTTTATTTTTCCTTGAAAAAATTTTGATTTACTATTTGTTAAAATTACTAAATGCTAGAAGAAGAAAACTTGGAAGAAAGTTAAGGATAAACAAACCAGAAGCTAGATGTCAGCAGTTGGTGGCAGTGCCCTGCTTGCTGTTGCTGCTCATGCATCTAATTCATGTGCTGTTAGGTCATCTAGCCAGCCTTCTCCAAGTCGCAGCATTCTTATGAATATTAAGTCACTTTCAAATGCTATTTACTTGTAAAATAATATACCTGTTGATTTGTAGAATATATCAAGAGAAGGACTAAACAAAGATATACTGAAAATACTTTTACTCATGAGAATATGGTGATTTTCTTTTAGAGGGACTTTGTGAGTTTTTAAATCATATTCTTAAGAGACTGGAAAGCCAAATGTCAGTGTCTTGGTTGAAGATCAGGTACAGAATATTCAGGTTGAGGTGGAAGATAACTGAGTTGCCTTCCCTTGTTCTCTGCAGATTTCATTGGATATAGGACTTGGGAAATAATGGCTTGGGATTTTTCCGCCTTTCTTTAGGTCATGCAATGTTGTTTTTTTTTTTTTTTTTTGAGACGGAGTTTTGCTCTTGTTACCCAGGCTGGAGTGCAATGGCACGATCTCGGCTCACTGCAGCCTCCGCCTCCTGGGTTCAAGCAATTCTCCTGCCTCAGCCTCCCGAGTAGCTGGGATTACAGGCATGCACCACCATGCCCAGCTAATTTTTTTGTATTTTTTAGTAGAGACGGGGTTTCTTGTTGACCAGGATGGTCTCGATCTCTTGACCTCATGATCCACCCGCCTCGGCTTCCCAAAGTGCTGGGATTACAGGCGTGAGCCACCGCGCGGCCGCAATGTTTTCTTTTTACTGAAATTCTGCACGCCGTTTACTCTGGTTCCAAAGACTCTGATTTTTCTCTTTGCTGAGTGAAAGCAGTCTTAAGTTTTCTACTTTAGTATTCTTTCCTTACTGGAATGTAGTATTTGCAAAAGGGTGTTGTAGCAGATAATCATGACTGAATTTTTTATCATTATAAGATATGGTGGTATGTGACTTTCCCCCAGGGCCCGAGAGACGAGGCTGCTGAGGAAGCTGCAGATGATGGAACCAGTCGGATCCATGAACAAGCCAGTTTTCCTGTAAACAAACTTCGAGAACTAAATGAGAAACTTGAATATAAAAGGCAAGCTCTAAATTCTATTCAAAATGCACCAAAACCTGACAAGAAGGTAACTCTTTGCTTTCAAGGTTGTCTTTGAAAGTTTACATTTGTCTAATTTGGTAGTTTTCAGTTGAGATGGAGAAGTGTCACTTTGTTTTAAAGTAATTTTAACCATGAGCAAGTTCCATTATTATTTTTTTGCTTCTAGGACAGAATTAGAAACATTTATTTTTAATCTCTTATGGTTTGGAGTTTTTTCTCAGTTTCACCTGAGTAACTCTATTATTTGCATGTGCTTTGCCTACAGGGCCTTTGGGGAAGGGGCTGAGCTTTCTCTTGTGCCAGGGTCATTTCTAGAAGTTCATTACATACTCCAGGACACTCTTTTGAAAAAAGATAGTTTTCTTTCAACTGCTGCAAGTGCAGTGTAGAGAATCTTACAGTGTTGTACAGGACATAAATTGTTTTCCTTAAACCAACAATTTGAAAGTTTAAAAGTGTAAACAGCATCTCACTTATTGGTCTTTCGCAAACCCAAGCTGTGGTGTGACTTCTTGCTTTGCGTTTTTTTCTTTAGAATTCAACAAGGAAGTTTCTCTAATGTAGATATGGCTGATGTCTTTGGTCTGACATTGGTCTCTGGCACTTTCTGAATGTGTGTTTGACGATTTCAAGTCGTCAATAGGGAGAGCAACTTAGAATAAAACAGTATCAGTGAGTCACATTGGGTTTTCTGTGAACATGTGCCCAATCCTATTGAGCCTTCTTTAGTAGTTTTTTTGTGAACATTCAAATATTTTTGTAGTAGGAGAATATTCCTGAAACATGATGTAAGAAAAACTGGTATCATGAGCCTCTCAGCAATTTACAGTTAAAATATCTATTCATCTATAATGCGAGTAACTGTCTAAACAAGTGAGTTTTCTTTAAAAAAGAATTCTTCAAAGGTGTGTCGTCTTGGTTAGTAGTAATATTTTAACAAAATTATGAAGGAAGAAGTAGTTTAGTGTGAATATCACTTTAATAATCGTTAATGATGGGCTGGTCGCACAGTGGCTCATGCCTGTAATCTCAGCAGTTTGGGAAGCTGAGATGGGTGGATTGCTTGAGCCTGGGAGTTACGACCAGCCTGGGCAACACAGGGAGACCCCATCTCTAGTAAAAATATTTTTAAAGATTAGCCTAGCATGATAGCGCATGCCTGTAGTTCGCAGCTGCTAGTCAGGTTGACACAGGAGAATCTCTTGAGCCTGGAAAGTCAAGGCTGCAGTGAGCTGTGATCACATCACGGCAGTCCAGCCTGGGCAAAAAATGCGGCTGGGCATGGTGGCTCATGCCTGTAATCCCAACACTTTAGGAGACTGAAGCGGGTAGATCACTTGAGGTCAGGAGTTTGAGACTAGCTGGTGTGTGCCTGTAGTCCCAGCTACTTAGGAGGCTGAGGAAGGAGAATTGTTTGAACCCAGGCGACGGAGGTTGCAGCCATTCGAGATCGTGCCATTGCACTCCAGCCTAGAGACAGAGCCTTGCTCTGTCTCAAAAAAAAAAAAAAAAATCAGCCAAGCGTGGTGGTGGGTTCCTGTAATCCCAGCTACTCAGGAAGCTGAGGCACGAGGATCACTTGAACCTGGGAGGCAGAGGTTGCGGTGAGCTGAGATCATGCCACTGCCCTCCAGCCTGGGCAGTAGAATGAAACTCAGCCTCAAAAACAAACAAACAAAAATGTAAGATTCATGTTGAAAAAAGTTTTAGCAATCTAGTGATTAACATACCACACCCCCAAAATTTGTAATAGTAAGGCTTTTCTGGATTAAATATCTGCTTGTTAATCAGATCGTTTTCCTGTGCGTACATAGTGGTGCAGGCTTCTCCTAATACAGAGTGCCAGTGGTTAGCTTAACCCTCCTTCCCTCACAGGTCTCTGCACCAACAGTGTAATTAGCTACTGGATGGTAAAGTGAGCCTTTTAGTTTGATTCCTGAAACTTTCTGCCTAGGTTTTTTTGTCGTTGTTTGTTTTCTCTACAGATTTTGTGAGTCTGGCACAAGCTGTCCAATTCTAGGGTAATGTTGGGAGTAAACCATGAACCGTGAAGAATCTCAGTAATACAGGTGATGAGGAAATGCCTGGTGCGGTGCTAGTCATGAAGATTCAGTGAAACGTAGAGTCTGACACTGGCCTCAAGGAGCAAATGATGCTGGTTATGGAACTAAAGCAGACATGAAAATAAAATGATCACAGGGCTTATTAATGATAAAATGCAGGACAATGGATAGGCAAGGAGTGCCTCCTGTAGGCTTTCTGAGGAAGGAAAGAGCCCTTGTATACTGCATACTCAGGAGGATTAGGGAGCAGAGCTTCTGTCCTCAAACTACAGAGTTACATAACCCCGTAGGCTGTCTCATAAAAGAGATCCGAAGAGGTGGCGAGCATAGCATTTAAAATATATTATTTATTTTTGTAAATTCTGGTAAAATATATATAACAAAGTTTACCATTTTCACTATTTTTTAAAATTCGTTTCTTATTTTAATAGGTTTTAGGGATAGGTGGTGTTTGGTCACACGAATAAGTTCTTCAGTGGTGGTTTCTGAGACTCTGTTGCACCCATCACCCAAGCAGTGTACGCTGTGCTCAGTGTGTGGCCGTTTATCCGTCATACCCCCCAACCCTTTCCCCCTGAGTCCCCAGAGTCCAGTGTATCATTCTTGTGCCTTTGCGTCCTCATAGCTTACCTCCCGCTTATGAGTGAGAACATACAATGTTTGGTTTTCCATTCCTGAGTTACTTCACTTAGAGTGATAGTCTCCACTTCCATCCACGTTCCTGGGAACGCCATTAATTCATTCCTTTGTATGGCCGAGTAGTATTCTGTGCTCTGTACAAACCGCATTTTCTTTATCCACTTTTTGATTGATGGGCATTTGCCGGTTCCATATGTTTGCAATTGCAAATCGTGATGCTATAAGCATGCCTGTGCAGGTATCTTTTTTGTATGATGACTTCTCTTCCTCTGAGTAGACACCTGGGGGTGGGATCGCAGCACCAAACGGTAGATCTACTTTTAGTTCTTTAAGGAATCTCCACACTGTTTTCCACGGAGGCTGTACTAGTTTACAACCCACCAGCAGTGCGAAAGTGTCCCCTTTTACCACATCCACTCCTACATGATTCTTTTGATGCTTTGATCATGGCCGTTTTTGCAGGAGTGAGATGGTGTCGTATTGTGGTTTCACTTGCATTTCCCTGATCATTAGTGATGTTGAGCATTTTTTCATACTCCATTTGTGTATCTTCTTTTCAGAATTGTCTGTTTGTGTCCTTAGCCGCCTTCTGGATGGGATTTTTTTTCTTGCTGATTTGTTTGAGTTCTTTCTAGATTCTGGATATTAGCCCTTGGTTGGATGTGTAGATCATGAAGATTGTTCTCCCCCTGTGGGTTCTCTGTTCTTTCTGCTGATTATTTCTTTGGCTGTGCAGAAGCATTTAGTGTTTTGCAGCCATTACCACATCCATCGCCAGAACTTTTCTCATTGTGAAAAACAGAAACTTTGAATCTATTAAACAATAGCTCCCCATTTTTTCCCTCCTACATGCTCTGGAAAAACTGCCATTTTATTTTCTATCTCTGTGAATTTACTCCGAGTACCTGATATTAGTGGAATCACACAATGTTTGTCCTTCTGTGACTGGTTTTTTCACTTAGAATAATGTCTTCAGGGTTCATCCATATGGGAGCATGTGTTAGAATTTCATTGCTTTTTAAAGCTGAATGATAGCATGTTGACACCACATTTTGTCTTGCTGACTGTTCATTCAACAGTAGAAATGTGGTTTACTTCCACGTCTTGGCTATTGTTAGTAATGTTGCAGTGACTGTGGGTATACAAATATCTCTTAAAGAGATCCAGCTTCCAGTTCTTTCTGGCATATACCCAGAAGTAGAATTGCTGGGTTATATGCTAATTCTGTTTTTGATTTTTTTGAGGAATCATTAAACTCTCTACCACAACACCGGCACCGTTGTACATTCCCAGTAGCAGTGCACAAGGGTTTCAGTCTCCGTGTCCTCCCTGCTAACACTCGTTATTTTCTCTCTTTTCTGGTCATGAGGTGGTATCTTATTTTGGTTCTGCTTTGCCTTTCTCTAATGATTAGTGATACTGAGCATCTTTTCATGTCCTTATTGACCGTTTGTCCGTTCTCTTTGGAGGAATGTCTCTTCAAATCCTTTGTGCATTTTTGATTGGGTTGTTTGTGTTTTTGCTGTTTAGTTTTAGGAGTTTTCTGTACTCTGGAGATGAAACCTCTGTCAGATAGGTGGTTTGCACATATTTTCTTATATTTTATGGTTTGCATTTTTACTATATCAATCGTGTTCTTTCATGTACAGAGTTGTTAACTTTGATGAATTCCAAGTTGTCTATTTCTTCTCTGGTGTCTGCGCTTTTTATGTCATAACCAAGAAATCATAGCCAAATCCAATGTGATGAAGCTTTTCCCCTGTATTCCCTGTTTGTTTGCGTTTTTGTTTGTTTGTTCGTTTTTTGAGACAGAGTCCTGCTCTGTTGCCCAGGCTGGAGTGAACTGTCATGGTCTTGGCTCACTGCAACCTTCAACCCCCAGGTTCAAGCAATTCTCCTGCCTCAGCCTCCTAAGTAGCTGGGATTATCGGTGCCCCCCACCACACCTGGCTAATTTTTGTGTTTTTAGTAGAGACAGGGTTTTGCCATGTGTGCCAGGCTGGTCTCAATCTCCTGACCTCAGGTGTTCCACCTGCTTGAGCCTCCCAAAGTGCTAGGATTACAGGTGTGAGCCACCATGCCTGGCCCCCTTTATTCTCTTTTATGTGTTTTATAATTTTTAGCTCTTTTGTTTAGGTCTTTAATCTACTTTGAGTTAATTGTTATATATAGGGTTAGGTGGCAAAGGTTTTCAGGTTTGTTCTTTTGCATGTAAATGTCCAATTTTCCCAGCATGATTTGATGAAAATACTGTTCTTTTCCCATTGAATGCTCTTGACACCCTTGTTAAAAATCACTTGACCATATATTATTACTGGGCTGTATTCCCTTGGTCAGTATTTCTGACTTAATGCCAGTACCGCACTGTTTGATTATTGTAGGTTTGTAGTAAGTTTTGAAGTCAAGAAGTATGAGTCCTCCAACTTTGTTATCTTTCAAAGTTGTTTTGACTATTGGGGTCTCTTGAAATTCTCTGTGGATTTTAGGATGAATTGTTTTTTTTCCTGCAAAAAAAATGTTATTGAAACTTTGTTGGGGATTGCATAGAACCTGTAGATTGCTTTGGGTAGTACTGACAGCAATATTAATTTTTCTAATCCATGAACATGGGATGTCTTTACAGATATTTGCCTTCTTTAGTTTCTTTCATCAGTGTTTTATAGTTTTCATTGTAGAATTATTTCACCTTGTTTACATTAATCCCTAAGAATATTTTTTTAATGCTAACGTAAGTGGAATTTTTTTTTTCTTAATTTCGTTTTTGGATTATTCACTGTTAGCGTATCAAAGCACAGCTGATTTTTGTGTGTTGACTGACTCCTCCTACTTTGCTGAATTGCAAAGTTTTAAGTGTTTACATAACTCCCAGGATATTTTCCCTGTGACAGATTGTTTCCAAGTTGAAAGATGAAATAATCCTAATAGAGAAAGAACGCACAGACCTTCAACTGCACATGGCGAGAACGGATTGGTGGTGTGAAAACCTTGGCATGTGGAAAGCCTCCATCACCAGTGGAGAGGTACGTTTGACTGCTTTTCCTCTTAATTTATTTTAAATGTTTGGCTTTATTAGAAAAGATTTTATCCTGAAGAATGAAGATTGAGGGTAGAAGGCTTATGCTCATTCTTTTAAACCATATTTGTCCTACCTTCCTTCCCCCATAATTTTTACCCCAGTTGCCTCCTGACTGGGAACTCTACAAAGCTGCTTGATATAGATCTGATCTCACTCCACTTCAAACAGCAAGTTTTTTCTGTTCCCTGGAATTCGAAAGCAGTTTTAATGTCCTTGAATTGCCAATTTATTTTTCCATTGAGGGTTGAAATAAAATGGAAAGCACTTTTTGAATCTTGAAGATGAAAAACTATAAATGCAAGTGCATTTGATTATTTCGTCCTGCTGACTTCAATTGCTTACATATCAGCATCTTTAAAATCCTCAGTGAATATTTTTTCTTTGAATTATTTTGCTGTTTTTTGAAGGATATGGGATAAGAGTTTGTAGAATATACTATATCCCTTTACATTTGTCTATAAAAATAATTTCGCGTATGTACCTATGCAGCAATCCTGCATGATCTGCGCATGTATCCCAGAACCTAAAGTACAATAAAATAATCATTTCATTTAGGAGGAAAGATGCTTACAGGCATTTACATTATTACTGTTGACAGCTTTCTTCTCCCCTGCCCTACTGTCTGGCAACTGGAAACCTGGAGATGAAAGTCATACAGTGTGGTCATTTACATAGCCATATTATATGCAAATAACAAGGTCTGAGCAAGAGAGTGCTTTTTTGTCCTCATCAGTATTTTATATGGCTTATCTTTGCTCTTCCCTGCCTTTCCCTCAAGCCAGTGGCTTAACATTCTTACAGGGATTGGGAGAGGGTCAAAATTCACAACCTTCCATTTATCTCTAGATTAGAGAGCCAAACAAAGCACATTCTCCAAGACCCACCCTGAAAGGACACACAGTACATGAGAGCCTAACCAAGTGCCTTCTGTATGTCTTCAGCACTTGGTGGCACTCCCATTAAGCTAAGCTACTGGACAATATACATTTCTCCATGGAAGGCAGCGAGCAGTGGATCAGGGAAGGTCATGCCCAACCTTGGACTCCCACACAGAAACCCTTGACAACTGCAGTTAGTTACCATTTGGGTGGAAGTATAGGAAGGTAGTGGGCTCAGGGGAATGCACTGGCAAAAGCTGCTGCAAGAGGCTGTTGGGGGAAAGAATACAAATTCCGTTACCTCCTCAGTTCTGCTCAGAGCTGGCCCTGACACTTCACAGTGCGTTAAAATCATCTCCCAATGGCAAATATTACAGGAGGCAGAAAGGGAAGGAAGGAACGGAAACTCTCTCAAGGCACGGTGCTCTGGCAGTCAGTTGCTACTAAGGAGCTTGCTGAGGTACTGTGTTCGCTGAAAAGGTAGTAGTGAAAGTGGGAAAGGGGCACCTGACATCTTGAGCTTGCAAAACAGTCCCAGGAAGGTGTAGAAGATGCGTTTTTAGGGAGCTGGACGTGCCTGGATTCTGTGCTAGCTGCCTCATCAGAGGTGTGGTTCTAGGAAAGGCAGGTACCCTGTCTGTGCCTCTACTTCCCTGTCCTTACAGTGGGGTAATAATCCTGCCTCCCACAGTGGGTGCTCAGTAAACCTCTCCTCTCTTCCCTGTGCCTTTCTTATGTCTCTTTCTCTCTCATTCAATTTATGATGCTAATTCAAGCTCAAATTCAATGTATTTTTTATTTTTTTTCTCTTCTTATGTTAAGTATGGTAGTGTTGGAAAAGCAGCAAAGGAGAAAGGACTTACAGAGTGTCTACATAAATTGCTTATGAGTAACACATAAACAAGGAACAATAAACTGCAGAAGGCCGCAGGAGGCCTCTGAGGAGGAAGGCCTCTCCATGCCTCACGTTCCGGTGCAGGGTGACCGGGGCTCTGTTTCAGTAACCCTTGTGCTCAAGGATGTAAGACCCCTTCGTGGCACTATGACGTAGCCAGACTTGTAGGCTCCTTGTAAGGCCCCCGTTCCACCAGCTGCACAGAGATAACAGGCTAAAGAGAACCACATGTTCTTGTTTTGTGAAACTCCCAAACTGCCACTGTTATCAATCCTTAGGACGACACACCAGTTCCAGCCACTGATTCACTCCACCATCAGGTCGCCGTCTCCCTGTAGATCAAAGTGATTGTAACCAATAAATAGTGTGGATGATCAGAGTTTGGGGCCTTCGCTGCCTCCTCCAGAGTAATGAGTGATGGCCCCTGGTCCCACTGTCTCTCTTAATCTGTCTTTTTCTCATTCCTTTGTCCCACCAAACACGGGGTACCCATGGGTGATGTAGGCCTGGTTCCCTACATAGTAGCTTCTTCTGGATATGGGTGGGGTGTGTGTGTGTGTGTGTGTGTGTGTGTGTGTGTGAGAGAGAGAGAGAGAGAGAGAGAGAGAGAGAGAGAGCCTTCCCCGAGAGTTTCTGATGTTTTTGATGCCTGTTTGCTTGCTGTTAATTTGTCTAAGTAACACAGGATGAGCCTGCTGTATTAGTTTTCTTTGCTGTGAAATACATTTCATACTAGAAGCAACACCTGTCTCTTGATCACACCTCTAGGTCTGGAGTCCAGCATAGGATGCACTGGCTCCCTGCTGGTTGTATCACAAGACTGCAGTCAGTATGTTTCCCAGACTGAGCTCTAGAGACTCAGTAAAACCCACTTCCCAGCTTATCCAGATTGTTGGCAGCATTCACTTCCTTTCGTCATGGAACTGAGGTCTCTGTTTTCTTGCTGGTTGCCTTCTTGGAATTGGAATCTTTCTGACTTCCTTTTGTACTACTGGCTAGCAAAAACGCCCGGCTTTTAGGTTAGGCCCAACCAGGAAATACGCCTATTTTAAGATCTACCGTGCCATATAATGTAGCTTAGTTGCTAGTATAAAATCCATTATACTCACAGTTCCAGGGATCCTGCAGGGTACACCACGGGGAGGGAAATCGCCTTAACAAATCTTCCTTCCACATTCACTCACCATGCTTTTTGTAAGTATCGATTTTGATGTTTCCCCCAAGGTTACAGAAGAGAATGGTGAGCAACTGCCATGTTACTTTGTCATGGTGAGCCTACAAGAAGTTGGAGGAGTGGAAACTAAGAACTGGACAGTCCCCAGAAGGCTCAGCGAGTTTCAGAATTTACACCGGAAACTCAGTGAGGTATGAGTACTCACCAACGCAGGATTCTAGAATTACTGCGGGAGAGCTTGTTTCGGGTTTTGCACATAAAAAACTGATTAATAGTCTTCCTTTGCTGTTTATACTAGCACAGTGGCATTTTCATCCTGACATTTGGAAATTTACTCACAGGTCAAACCATCTAGTGTAGCCATCAGGACAGATAATTGCCTGCTTTTCACTGTAAATTGCCAGTGAGCACGAGAGCTGGAAGACACCTGAGGATCATCCAGGTCTCTCAGGACCGGCAGCCTCAAAAGCAGCTGCTGGTTGTAGTCCATTGATGGTGGTGAAGCCAGTGTGAGTTGCAGCAGTAGAAAGAACCGGGCGCATTGGATTCTGTCACATACACAAGGGAGGCAGTGAGGTGCAGTGCTTGGAGCACAGCCTCTAGAACTAGACTCAGCTCTGAATCCCAGCTCTACCCTTCATGGCTGTGTGACCTGAGATACATGGATGGTTGGATGGATGGATGGATGGTTGGATGGATATTTTTTAGGATGGAGTCTTGCTCTTTTGCCTAGGCTGGAGTGCAATAGTGCGATCTCAGCTCACTGCAACCTCTGCCTCCCAGGTTCAAGCAATTCTCCTGCCTTAGTCTCCTGGGTAGCTAGGGTTACAGGTGTGCACCACCACACCCAGCTAATTTTTGTATTTTTAGTAGAGATGTGGTTTCACCATGTTGGCCAGGCTGGTATTGAACTCCTGACCTTAGGTGATCCATGCCACTTGGCCTCCCAAAGTGCTGGGATTTCAGGTGTTAGCCACTGTACGTGGCCTGACCTGGGATTTATCACTCACTTGCATTTTGCCTCTTTTTCCTTATTAGTGAAATTAAATACTAATAGTGCCTGCCTTACAGGTTGTTCCGGGAATGAAGGGATATATGTATATAAAGCATTGAGAAGACTGTGTGGCACATGGTAAACTTCATTGTGTTTTTGGTAGTAGCAGTTGTAGTAACGAGCACTGTTTCCTAGAACTTTGGTTTCAGTTTTATTTATGTATATGTATATATACATGTGAAGTACGGGTTGCAGTGTAGCATGCATTTCCTATTGTGGGTTTCGGTTAAAATGTTTGAAAGCCACCAATCTAAATCTTTTGTTTGACAGATGAGGGAAACTGATCCCAGAGCTTAACTGACTTGTCATAGGACATGTACACAGTGACCAAATCAAGATTATTAATAGAATCTTACTTTTGGATTATTCTTCCTACTTTTCCTGGGGAATTGCCATCTTCTCTAATTTTCCTTCTACTATGGGTTATTTCCGTTTTTCTCCTGCTCAGCGTGAACTGATACTGGTGAAACTGTAACTGTCAAATTGTCCAGCCGCTTGCTGCTTGTAGAAAGGAACAATCATAATAATAACAGCAAGAGCAACGTGTGATAAAAGGAAAGCGAGATTTTATTATCCATGCTAGCAAAGGGAGGAGTGGGCAAAATTATTTCTAAAAATTTCCACCCTCAGCCAATCGTGGTGGCTCACACTCGTAATCCCAGCACTTCGGGAGGCCGAGTTGGGTGGAATGCTTGAGCCAGGCCAACACGGTGAAACTCTGTCTCTACTGAAAATACAAAAAATTAGTTGGGCATGGTGGTGCATGCCTTTTGTCCCAGCTTCTTGAGAGGCTGAGGCTAAAGAATCACCTAAACCCAAGAGGTAGAGGTTGCAGTGAGCCAAGATCACGCCACTCCACTCCAGCCTTGGTGACAGAGCAAGACTTCATCTCAAAAAATAAACATTTCTACCCTTCAATTGTGGAGGGAACGCAGGGGATTTTAAAGAGAGGGTTTGGAATGCAGAAGAGGCAGCGGGACTAGGAGGTGTCAGGTGGCGTGACCTGCTATATGGCTCGTCTTGAATTATTGTTACATCTGGTGAAGTGGCTGGCACCATTGTGGCCAGAGGTGTCTGGTCCATATCAGGATCTGGCCCTCGAAGCATCTAAGGAGATAGATGACCAGATAAGGAGTGTGGTGTGCACTTAACAAGCATGTGGGAAAATAAATGTGCACAAAGCATGGGAGCATGGGATGGGGAAAAAGGTAGTGGAGGTTCACAGCACATTCCCAGCCTCTGTTTCAAAACGAAAGGAAACACATATGCAGCTTGTCTTAAAGTTACATCTTGAGATTAAGGAGGAAGGAAAACAAGTTTTAAACATGGTTTGAAGCCACGCTGCTCCTTTACAAAACCTCACAGGCACCTCTCAGACTCCTCCTCTGCAAAGGAGATGTGTGTTTTCTTTAACCTTATCTCCAGAGTGATTTTTCAGCCTGTTTTCATCACTAGATACTATAATTTCTTCAACTGCTTTTTAAGGATAGTGACCACAACTGAGCGTCATGCACGCTGCGTTTCTCAGATGGCCTTTGGTCACCTTAACAGTGTGGAAAGCCAACATTTATCTCAACATGACAATGAATTTTCCCCAGAGTTGTTGAGTAAAATTGATGCTACAGAAAAACGTGTTGTTTTCTCTGTGACAAAGTATTGTGAAACCAGAGTTTAGTATCAAAACAGGAGGAAAAGGAGTTGAGGGAAAATTTGGAAAGAAAGTGTCTTTGGAAAGTAAAACTAACTTAGACGGTCAGAAGAATTACATGGGAGCATTAAAAGGAACAAACATGAAAGTCTGGGCCTGTCCCCTTTGTCGTCTTTCCTTCTCTCTGGACTGATGGCCGAGCTCTTCCCTTACCCCTGCCCTTTCCTGTGCTGTGAGTTTTCCTGTTGTGAGAACCCTTCCTGTCAACAACGGACAGGAAGCACCTTTTTGGGAACTTAGTGATTTTGGGAACTTCCCTTCTAACTCTCACTGACTGTTTCATTTCTCTAAAATTTCATAGAGCTGTTATAAGGATGAAATAATACATGCTATGCCTCTAGCTCAGTGTCTGGTAGAAGGGAGGACTTAATACAGTTCATACTATGAATACATTTTGTTAATCTGCAGTTTGCCACTGAGAGGCAGTAATAAGGCTGGGAGTGGTGGCTCCTGCCTGTAATCCCAGCACTTTGGGAGGGCGAGGCAGGAGGACCACTTGTATCCAGGAGTTTGAGAGTGGCCTGGACAAAAAATTTAAAGTTTGAGAGTGGCCTGGTGGCACGTGCCTATAGTCTCAGCTACTTGGGAGGCTGAGGTGGAAGAATCGCTTGAGCCTGGGAGATCAAGGCTGCCATGAGCCGTGATCACGCCACCGCACTCACCCTGGATGACAGAGTGAGACCCTGTGTCAAAAAAAAAGGCAGTGATAGAGCTACAACCCAAGATTCCTTTGTTTCCATTGTTTTCTTTTGTTAACTTTAGCTTTTCACAGAGATGTTATAAACACAACTCCTCTAGGTGAAATACTTTCTGTGAGCTGTTTCCATTTGTCGCATCATGTGCCGCTCTGCATGGTGTGCAGATCCCGCATACCAGCCTGGCCTCGTGACTTCCCAGCACCCAGGGATCTGTAGGTTTGGGGACGTGCTTTAGCTTCTTCCATCAAAGCTTTCGTTCCTCCCGATTCTTCCAGCCTGATGAAAACGGGTAGGTTTTTACCTCAGGGGAACAAGTACAGGAGGAAGATGTTTGGTTTGTTCTAATTATTTTTCTAAATCTTTTTGTAAGATTAAACTGTAACTTCAAAATACTAATATTTTCCTTTTCCCCCCGCAGTGCGTCCCTTCTTTAAAAAAAGTCCAGTTGCCTTCTCTTAGCAAGCTGCCTTTCAAATCTATAGATCAAAAGTTTATGGAAAAGTCAAAGAATCAATTAAATAAGTTTTTACAGGTAAGCAAGTGAAGAATGTGGGCTATGAGAGAAAAAATAGTTATTTGGGGTTAAATTGCCATTGTTCTGAGAGCTTGAAGTTTGCTTTTCGTTCTCACAAGCCATGCCAGATGCTAAAAACAGTTTTTTTAATTAACATAAATATATATATATACACACACGTAAGTGTATAACTGTCTCCATTCACAAACTGAACACATCCATTTAACTAGCCCCCATTCAAACAAACTGATTATCACCAGCAGCCCCCAGCTTCCTCCCATCACTGCAGCCCCACCAAAGGTTAACTGCTGTCCTGACTTCCAGCAAGATTAGTTACAGGTGTCTTTGAACTTCATGTAAATGGAACCGTATAGTGTTCCTTCCTTTCTGATGACTTTCACTCGTTCATTTCATAGGACTTGACTATAGTGTCATCTTAGTTGCAGGTGACTGATTTTCGTTGCAGTGAGAGGTCTTCATTGTATGAATATGCTGCATCCAGATTCATTCCGTTGTTGACGAGCCACTCTGAGGTTTACACGGAGTGCTTCTGTAAACTTCTAGTCCTTGTCTTTTGGCAGATATGTCAGCTGATGCCAGAGATTAGGATGTTTCTGTTTTTCATCGTGGTCATAGCAATTTTCACACTCTCCCCAGTAAGGGTTCTGATTGCTCTGCATCCTCGCCGACACGTATTTTTTGTCGTCTTCTTCTTAACCATTTTGGGTGTAGTGGTATCTCATTGTGTTTTGGGGTTGTTTTTTGTTTTTTTAAGACAGAGTCTTGCTGTGTTGTCCAGGCTGGAGTGAAATGATGTGATCTCGGCTCACTGCAACCTCTGCCTCGAAGGTTCAAGTGATTTTCCTGCCTCAGCCTCCTGATTAGCTGGGATTACAAGCGCATGCCACCACACCTGGCTAATTGTATTTTTAGTAGAGACAGGGTTTCACCATGTTGGCCAGGCTGGTCTCGAACTCCTGACCTCAGGTGATTTGCCTGCCTTGGCCTCCCAAAGTGCTGGGATTACAGGCGTGAGCCACTGTGTCCGGCCTCATTGTGGTTTGATTTGCATTTCCCTGATGGATAATGCTGTTGAGTACCGTTCTGTATGTTTACTGGCCTACCTGGATAGTTGTTTTGGGTGAAGTGTCTGGTAAAGTTGTGTCTCCCTTTCTATTGTGCTGCTGCTCATCTTTTCCTCTTGCTTTATGGGTTCGTCTGCGTTCTGAATATGAGTTCCTTGTCAGATCTTATATGCTACAAATATTGTCCCCTCTCTATGGACTGCCTTTTCCTTAATGATTTCTCTTAACGAACATAGTTCTCAATTTTAATTAAGCCCACTTTATTATTTTTAAAATTTTATTTTATGGTTAATGCTTTTTGTGCCTATTAAGAAATCTTTGCCAACTCCAAGGCCCTGAAGATATTTTCTTAACTTCCTTTAAACACTTTGTTATTTTCTGTCGTCTGGTTTTAAATACTAAGGCCAGACAAAGGCATGCTATCCTCGGTAGCAACCACTGTTTTCTTTTGCTGCACCGTCTATATTCAGAGGATAATTGTTAATCACACCATGGAGCTTAAAGTCCTGAAGTTCTCAGAGGCGTGGAACTTTGCCTTACTGCTTCTGCAGTAGAAGCTAGGAATTCTGAGACTTAAAAAAAATGCTTTGCCTATTTGTATCCTTTAAAGAATTCTTTAATCTTTAAATTGGCATTGTACTTGTACACGTTTATGAGGTGCACTTTGATGTTTTGATATATGTATATGTTATGATCAAATAACAGTAGCATATCCATCACCTCATACATACATATATGTATATATGTATAATTTTTTTTTTTTGAGACAGACTCTTGGCTCTGTTGCCCAGGCTGGAGTGCAATCACACAGTCTCAGCTCACTGCAGCCTCCGCCTCCCAGGGTCAAGCAGTTCTCCTGCCTGAACTCCCCAGTAGCTGGGATTACAGGCTCACACCACCATGCCTGGCTAATTTTGGTATTTTTAGTAGAGACAGTTTTGTCATGTTGGATAGGCAGGTCTCGAACTCCTGACGTCAGGTCACCAATCTGCCTGGACCTCCCAGAGTGCTGGGATTACAGGTGTGAGCCACTGTGCCCAGCCACATTTATCATTTCTTTGTGGTGAGAACATTAAAAAACCTTTCTTCTAGCTCTTTTTTGATATATAATACCTTTATGTTAACCATGGTCACCCTACTGAGCAGTAGAGCACCAGAACTTATCCTCCTGTGAAATTATAACTTTCTAGCCATTGGCCAGTCTCTCCCATCCTTTCCTCCCCAGTCTCTGGTCTCAGTAGATGAGGTTGTTTTTTTTTCCGATTACACAGATGAGTAAGATCATGCAGTATTTGTCTTTCTGTATCTGGTTTGATACTTGATGTCCTCCAGCTTTATTCATGTTGTTGCGATTGACAGGATTTCATTCTTCTTTATGGCTGAAAAATACTCCATCAGGTATACCGGGGGTGTTCAATCTTTTGGCTTCCCTGCACCACAGTGGAAGAAGAATTGTCTTGAGCCACACGTAAAATACATTAACACCAACAATATCTGATGAGCTTTAAAACAAAAAAATCACAAGAAATTCTCATAATGTTTTAAGAAAGTTTACAGATTGGTGTTGGGCCACATGCAGCCCGCAGGCTGCGGGTCGGACAAGCTGGATGTACGTATGCCGCATTTCTTTATTCATGCATCTGCTGGACGCCTAAGTTGATTCTGTGTCTTGCCTCTTTGTTGTGACTAGTGCTGCGGTCAACGTGGGACTGCAGATCTCTCTCTGACACACTGATTTCATTTCCTCTGGATATATATCCAGTAGTGACATTGCTGGATCATTTAGTAGCTCCATTTGTAAGTTTCCGAAACGTCTCCATACCACTTTTCTCAATGAATGTATTAATTTACAGCCCCACCAGTAGTGTACAAGGGTTCCCTTTTTTTCGTATCCTTACCAACACTTCTTTTCTTTTGTCTGGCATGAGGTGGTGTCTCCTGGCTTTGATTTATAGTTCCCTGATTCGTGATGTTGATCGTTTTTTCATCTACCTGTTTGCCATTTTCATGTTTTCTTTTGAAAAGTGTCTATTCAAGTCCTTTGCCCACTTTTAAATAGGATTATTGTGTTTGTGTGTTTTGCTGTTGAGATGTTTGAGTTGTTTTCCATAATAAATGAATATAGTTTAAGGCCAACGATTTCCATCCATAAGGATTTCCCTACTAATATACTGATTATGTTAACTTTGAGACTTACCATTAATATCATATCCTGCTATTTTGTAAAGTAATGTTACAGAGTAGATTAATGAAATCAAGATAGGAGGAGAATATCTTGCTCCTTCTGATCCACCATCACATACAAGTTGAACTGACCATTTAATTCTGAAAAACAAGGACTGTCTGCAGGATTCAGGGACAGGAGGGCAGTAGACGCACTGCCCATCCCCCTTAATCTCCTCGGTGGCGATGGCAGGGCCTGCCCACCAGTAGGCTAGTCTTCTGCAGGGTACAGGAATGCTGATGGTGCTCATCCCCAGGGTACAGGAATGGGGATGGTGCTCATCCCCAGCGTGGCAGTATTGGGCCCTCTCAGAGGTGATTTTTTCTAGGGAGGGTCATAATGTTTGTCAAGTCATTTGCTGTCTAAACAAACAGGACGTTGCCATCTTGGACCAACCCCTCTGGACTAGACCTGAACCTCCCCCCACCAGCCAGCTCTGTCATCAGAGCCATAGCTGGCTCCTGAGTGTTCCATCTCTCTATGTGGCTGATAGTTCCTGTAGGTTTACTTATTCCTAAACCCAATGTCTCATATACTAGATGTGTAAATATTCTGTGGTCACATTGTTAATTCTGCTGTCTTACTACAGCACTTGCTTGTACCTAAATCACCTTGATTTATGTTCTGATTTCCTCTCTCCTAAGGCCAGGTAAGTACACACAGAACTTTGGGAACTTTCCAATTTGAGGGCCAGTAGAAAATGTTCTATAATTATGTAAACGCACACTGCCTAGAAAGTGGCAGCACAGAGAAATGAAACTGTTACCTGGCAGGCAGTGCCACCATGTGATAACTCAGAGTTCTTTTTTTCAGCTGATGTTCAAAGTCTGAACATAACCATAAAAGGGCAGTTTAGAGGGATCCATGTGAAATTTGCAAAAATTTAAGTTGGTCAAACAGATGAGTGAAAGTCGTCTTTCAAAAGTCGTAGCACCTGCGATCTGTGAGCTGTATGCAAAGTAGGAATGTTTTGGCCAGGCACAGTGGCTCACGCCTGTAATCCCAGCACTTTGGGAGGCCACGTTGAGTGGATCACGAATGAGGTAAAAAGATCGAGACCATCCTGGCTGACATGGTGAAACCCTGTCTCTACTAAAAATACAAAACTAGCTGGGTGTGGTGGTGTGCGCCTGCAGTCCCGGCTACTTGGGAGGGTGGGCAGGAGAATTGCTTGAATCCGGGAGCTGGAGATTGCCGTGAGCCAGAGATTGCGCCACTGCACTGCAGCCTGGTGACAGAGCGAGACTCTGTCTCAGAAAAAAAATTTGCAAAGTGGAGTGAGGTCCTCTGTCTGCATGGTTATCTCCCATGAGCAGAGTGATTTGGGCACTACTAGTTAACCTCGAGAGGATTGTTCGCTCTTCAGATCATTAAGAATTGATCTTACATAGTTTGTTTCCGGGGAAAAGGAAGTGGTTTTGGGTTCAGAAGTCTGAGGAAAGTACATTCATCACAGTCAGCTCTGCCTCGCTTGCCTTTGCTTACAGTAGTTCCCGGCCGCACGGATGGTTCCCGCACCGGAGCAGCTAATCCTCTTTCTTCCACAGAATCTGCTTTCAGACGAAAGACTGTGTCAGAGCGAAGCACTTTATGCCTTCTTGAGCCCTTCTCCTGACTACCTCAAGGTTATTGATGTGCAGGGGAAAAAAAATTCTTTTTCATTATCCTCATTTTTGGAAAGACTTCCTCGCGACTTCTTCTCCCACCAGGAGGTGAGCCATCTAAAGGGTGAACCACTTTTGTAGCGTATTTCAGCAGATACTAAGCTCATGCTCCTCACGGGGGAAAGCCAGTTCCTCCAATTTCAGTTATTACAGTCACAGTTTGAGGCATCTGCTTGTAATTCTGTATCTTAATTTTTCCAAGTGACTTGCAGGGGAGGACCGAGGGGTTTTACCACTTCGGAGTTGGTAAGTGAAATACGAGTAGGAAGTTCTGCAGGAGCTCGCTCCACAGGGGGGCTCCAGTCCTCAGGTCTGGAGAGGCAGAGTGCAGGCCGTCGTGGGAGGGTGCAGGGGGTTCACGCTGAAGGTGCAGGAGAGGAGGGTGGGTGTGTTTATGGAACAGGCTGGAGGTTGTTGGCCTGGACCGGAGGGTTTGTGCCGTGTGCTCTAATGGAAGATTAGGTACAGCATAGAAGTGGGGAGGGGCGAGGTTCCTGCAGGGCTGAGAGTTTAGGCTGTGTTCTCAGGTGTGAAGAAGCATGAGAGATGATCTGGCAGTGGTATGTGGATTAGGGAATGGATAGACAGAGCCTCCAGAGCTTTCGATCTCATGTTCCGGACCCCAGACTTCTCTCCAGAGTAGGCTGTGCACTCCTGTGCGCACCATGGGGACCCCTGGCCTGGCCTCCTAGCAAATTGCACAGGACCACCTCTGAAATGTGGTTTCTCCTCAGCCCATTGCCAAATGCCACTGCCTCTTCATCGGAGGCTGCTTCACGAGTTTGAACAGAGGAACTGACGGTGAAAAGGAGCACGCTGCTCTCCTGCATTCTCAGCTGGGGCGGAAGTCAGCATGTCCCACCGAGCACACCCACGCCCGCTCCGGTTCACATATTTACCCACATCCCCCAAGCATCTCCCACCTCTTTCCTTCATGTGTCTGTCTGTACTTGGCTGGCTTACCTGTCTCACCTCGCTTTTATTCCTGAACCCCTGGAGTTGACATACGGCTCAGTCACTCTGTGAAGCGACTCTAAAGGTGCTAGTGGCTTCCTCTCAGTCTTTACCTTTCTCAGCCCCTTTGAGGCGTTTGCTGTTTGCTGGACTTCTGTGATGCTCTGAGTTTTTAGGGAGCTCCTCCAGCCTCTGTGACTTCCCTGTCCCTTCCTCTGCTTGCCTAATATAACTATCTCCCAAAGACCTGGCTGGGCCTGCACTTCAGCTCTTACCTGTATGCAGACATTGCAGTGCACATCCTCAGCTGCCTTCCAGCACCTAATGTTTACACCTCTATGACAGCACTTCATCCAGCCCTATCGTAACATCTGCCCGTGTGTCTGTCTCCCCAGAAGGCAGTGGGCACTGAAGTCTAGAGCCGCATCATACTCATCTGCCCGTGTGTCTGTCTCCCCAGAAGGCAGTGGGCACTGAAGTCTAGAGCCGCATCATACTCATCTGCCCGTGTGTCTGTCTCCCCAGAAGGCAGTGGGCACTGAAGTCTAGAGCCGCATCATACTCATCTGCCCGTGTGTCTGTCTCCCCAGAAGGCAGTGGGCACTGAAGTCTAGAGCCGCATCATACTCATCTGCCCGTGTGTCTGTCTCCCCAGAAGGCAGTGGGCACTGAAGTCTAGAGCCGCATCATACTTTGAACTGGGCCCTGCTGATACGCAGATCAAGAACTGGGACTAGCTGAAGGAAAGAATAAAAGCTTCAGCCACAGCTTTCAAAATAACTAAATTACTTTAAAATGCATGTTTGTTAAAAAAACAAAAACGTGAATTTAAAATTATTTACTTCATGCTGTTTTAAGGGAGTGAAAACTTAAAAAAATTAAGTTAAAAGCCTTAGTTTTGAAATTCAAAATGGTTAGAAAACCGTTTTATTGTCTGTTAATTCATTGATTATTAATACACTGACAGATTTTTTTAGATTAGCTTATTTCGAACCTTGAATAAGGCTCTAGAATCAGGCTTTTCTGATTCTTTCCTCTGTGTTGAGAATGGATAGGTTTCTGCATGAAAACTGAGGAATAAAGGCTAGAATATGAGCCGATAGTTTGGAATCTACACTGGAAGAGGGAGAACCACCACCAGTTTTCTTGGATAAGTTACCTGTTTCCTGTGCCTTTGCTGTATTCCCAGGAGGAGACAGAGGAGGACAGTGACCTGTCAGATTATGGTGATGATGTGGATGGGAGGAAAGACGCCTTGGCTGAACCATGTTTCATGTTGATTGGGGAGATTTTTGAACTTCGAGGAAGTAAGCTTCTTTGTTATTATTAGTGGTATCTGCTAGTAAAGCGGTATGCAAAATTGAACACGCACCCGCATTTAATATCCCTTTATGGCTGAAATGCATCAGACGTGTGTTTATTTTCAGGCATCCATTCATTCAGCATTTCTTTTTAAGAGCCAACCAGGGCCAGGCGCAGTGGCTCACGCCTGTAATCCCAGCACTTTGGAAGGCGGAGGCGGGGCGGATCAGGAGGTCAAGAGATCAAGATCATCCTAGCCAACGTGATGAAACCCCATCTCTACTAGAAATACAAAGATTAGCTGGGCGTGGTGGCACGCATCTGTAGTCCCAGCTACTCGGGAGGCTGAGGCAGGAGAATCGCTTAAACTCGGGAGGTGGAGGTTGCAATGACCCAAGATGTTACCACTGCACTCCAGCCTGGTGACAGAGCGAGACTCTGTCTCAAAAAAAGAAAAAACGAGCCAGCCAGATACTGTGTTACATATACAACCTCAGGACAAATATGATCTCTGTCCTAACGTAGCGTAGCATCCCGATTTACGCTGCACCATGTTGCTCTGACCACAGAGGGTTAGAATCCTGCACATCTATTTTTATGTGACTTGGCTGGCTTCATTGCCTTATCACTAAAAGTTATACAGAAAATTATTTTGTATAGCACAGGACAAACCCTGTTGTTAAAAGTGACTTTTGGTGTTAGGATAATTCCGTGGCCGAGGAATGCCTCCACCCCATTTTCCAGCTACCTTTTTCCTCTTGAGCGGTAGTTCTTCATGGAGGGAGGGAGGGACATACGGTGATGTCTGAAAATGTTTTTGATTGTCGTAACTTGGAGCACAGCTAGTGGGTAGAGTCTGGGACGCTGCTAAGCGTTCTGCAGTGCTCAGCACAGCCTCCGCAGCAGTTCTCCTGCCCCAGATGAGTAGTGCTGAAGCTGAGAAGTCCCGCTCTAGTGATGCTCCTCAAGGGGCGATGTAGGTACAAGAAACAGTCGTAAAATGGGGGTCAAGTTCTGTTTCCGTAAGAGTTGTACAAGTGCTGCCCCCTGGAAACATTACCGTGGTGAAAGGTAAACTGGACTACATGGCTTAGTGTTGAGCCTTGAATAGGACTTAATACTACTCTCTGTCCACATGTTCACGGCTCCCAACACTCTCAATCTTGTGATGAGTATACTTTGTCACACTGACTGCCTCGAAGAGGAAGCAGATGAGAAGAGCAAGGGTTAGTAAGAGTCAGTGATGGTCCCAACCAGCCAAATAGTGCAGTGTGGCTATCCTGGGCTCTGTATATTCACATTAGCAGCTTTTCCCTTGAGGCAAGGAAGTAGGCCACCAGTTGGTCTCACACAGGAAATGGGGCTATGGATCCCTTCTCATTTATAAATCCCTTAACATGTCACTTAAAGAATTATTAACAGAGAGAAACATGTCTTACGTGTCTTTTAATCTTCACTATCTACTACAATGCCTGATGTGTGGTACGTGATCGATAATGCCTGGATAGACGCACCGATGAGTGAATAGGCAAGAAAAATGTTAAGTCCCAGAATGAACTCTCCTTGGTCACTGACCTTTCTCTCCTTTTGAGCCAAAGTTAAGAGGATATGTAATGTCAGTCATCTAACACTTTGAGAGCATATGTTTTAGATACAGCTCTGTAGGGAAACAAAAACATCAGACACAGATTCTGCCTTCAGTGAATTCACAGAATAAGGTGTGCAAAAGTGTAATTCACATTAAGCAATAGACAAAATTAAATTCTAAAGTGCAGCTGGAGATTTACATAATTTAGCATAATTACAATAATGAAAAATTGGAACTAAGATAAATTTTAGTAATGGGAGATAACTTATTTAAGAAATATCTGTGTCATGGAATATCATCTAAATATGAAAAATCCTTTCAGATAAAACCTAGTAGCCTTTCAATATTTGAGACACTTTAAGATATATACAGCGATGTTTAAGTTGATTTAATATAGACAAAATTAGTAATCCACCTAAAGTCTGACTCTTCTTTGGCAAAAGGTGGCCCATTAAATCATGAGTCTCCCCAGTTTCCTGTACAGTTGATAGGAATAGGGACACTATCCTAGCCTTCGTCATTGATAGGAATAGGGACACTATCCTAGCCTTCGTCATTGATAGGAATAGGAACACTATCCTAGCCTTCGTCATTGATCTTGTGTTTGCTGTTGGTACAGAGCTTAGGAGACATGGTAGGTGTGTCAGAGCCAGTTTTGGCTGGAGCAGGGCTCCTAACCTTGTCCGCAGCATGTGCTTCCTCCATCTGTGCCTGCTCAGAGCATACTTGCTTTTGCTAGTGGCATTTCAGAGGGAATAAATAGAACATCATTTATAATGAGATGAGATCATTTGCTGCCAGCAGAATCCTAATGCTGCTGCAGCTGCCTCTGTGGCTTTGAACAAATAAACCTTTGGAGTAATGGCGTGTGTGTGTGTGTGTGTGTGTGTGTGTGTGGTGGGGGTGGGTGTTGGGGATTGGGGAAGGTGAGGGAAAAGTAATAGAGTAAATTTTGTAATAGAATAATAGAGAAAATTTGTAGCAAAATGACTTTTCATTTCTGCTCCAGTATACCAAAAGGGACCAGTAATACTCCTGCCCCCTTATTTTAAAAAATAACCACTTGGTTGTCAGGTCTCTTTCTAGAGTTGCACTTGTCCTCAGACCCTCTAGGTATGAGCTACTTCTTTCCTGCCCTAGAAAGGCAAAGTGAAGTTATCATCACTGACAGACATGCTCATCCCAGCCTAAATGCCAGCCTAAAATGAACAAGTGTACGTGCTTGGCAGCATTCCAGCTAATTCCACCAAAAAGTTTCAGACATTTTTGAGGTATGGTTCCTACTCCAAGACTTGACATGAAGGATTCATACTACTTTAACAGGTTATGTTGAGCCATTAAAAAAAATTAGAAATGGCTTTAGAGTGTATTAAAGTCTGGTACCAAGTCTGTGTTTTCTATGATTTTTTTCTTTTTTTGAGACAGAGTTTCACTCTTGTTACCCAGGCTGGAGTGCAATGGCGCGATCTCGGCTCACCGCAACCTCCGCCTCCTGGGCTCAGGCAATTCTCCTGCCTCAGCCTCCCGAGTAGCCGGGATTACAGGCACACGCCACCGGTTTTCTATGATTTTTATTTGTGTGGTTGCCCTTGTGCAGACATGTCTGTGAATTTGCCATTGTTAGTTTTCCTTAGTGGGTGCAAGTGTTGAACTCTTGGCTCCGTTATGACTGAGTCTGAGTTTCTCATTTCCTCATATGTCAGTAGCCAAACACTTCAACGGATGGAGGTGAATATATAAATGAAGATTTTGGTTTAGGTTCCAATTTGTAGACCTAAAATATCCTCATAGCATTTCTTTGCCATCTGTTGGTTTATGTTCATTTTCTATACCTACAAACATGTGTCCCTATGTTAATAATAAAAGCTTAGATCATCTGTAGAACCCTTCACAGCCTTTTTCACACACATGGAAGGAAAGGCACATGTTAATACCATCTTTTCCAGATGACGGTTCAGAGGAGGTGACTTACGCCCTGCTGCTATGGGGGTGGCACAGGAGACTGCCAAATTCATTTCTTATCCAGGGTCCCGGCTCGTCACCATTCATAAAAGTACACAGTGATCTGCAAACTGCTTCAAATGGGAACAGTTAGACCCGTCGGTTCATTAATATTTCAAAGTAGTTGACTATAGGTGTTTCTCATTCAGCAGTTCAAAAAGTGTGTTCAGCTAGCCAGACAGAAATCTAAAATAGGAACTACACTGTGTGCTGGTGGAAAACAGACATGTTGTCAATACCCCAGGGACAGATGAAGTACTCTTTCCACTTAGAGCACAGCTGTTGGGAGGCATTGAAACACTGTAAAAAGCCTGGTTTCATCTCATCAGTTGCTTAGTAGAAAATGAAACCCTAGTCAGAAGAGCTTTCCTGAGCAGAGTCTTTGCTACCCTAGACTCAGATTCTGCAGATGTCATAGCCTCGACTTGAGGTCAAGACTCAAATGATCTTAAGTGTTAAGATTTATGTTTTGTACAGCTGTGAAAATGTCCCAAATTGTGATACCCTGTGATAAAAAATTTTCCTCTGGTTTCTATTTTAGTGTTTAAATGGGTGAGAAGAACATTGATTGCCCTCGTTCAGGTCACTTTTGGAAGAACCATCAACAAGTGAGTTGTATGAGATTAATATTTGGGGCCGAGGCGGGTGGATCACGAGGTCAGGAGATCGAGACCATCCTGGTCAACAAGGTGAAACCCCGTCTCTACTAAAAATACAAAAATTAGCTGGGCATGGTGGTGTGTGCCTGTAATCCCAGCAACTCAGGAGGCTGAGGCAGGAGAATTGCCTGAACCCAGGAGGCGGAGGTTGCGGTGAGCCGAGATCGCGCCATTGCACTCCAGCCTGGGTAACAAGAGCGAAACTCCGTCTCAAAAAAAAAAAGAAATTAATATTTGGATCCATGCCCTACTCTTTGCCTTGAGAGTCAAGTTACCTTATGATCCAGCAGCCAGTGATTTAACTGAAAATCTTTTCTCTCACCTTTTCTGATGTGATTCTAAGATTGGATAGGAGAGTAGATTTCTGAAAGAATTTCTCCCACAGAATGCATGGCAGATTAGATAAGAAAAGCTTGAGCTCCTTCCACATTCTGGCTGGCGAGGGTCAGGAGGTGTGTTCTGTAAAGCTCCCTTTGATTATGATGACTCGTTTAAGCGTCTTGGATAGAATGTTTTTATTTCAAATAATGAGAATCAGTTCAAGGTTTAGACTCTAAGCCAGAAGGAAAGTAGGATGAGCATCACATGGCAGGCAAAGTTTACTTAGAGGAAAATAGATACCATGTACTAAGGTTTTAGAGTTGTGTAGCACTGAAGTGCTAATTCTTCTTATTAGTTAATATCTGAGTGTCCATTGGGGCATGTGTGTGGCCCTGTCATCTAGCACTATTATGAGCCAGATGTATGTTCTAAACCATATTATATTATCCATATACATAAAGGGATTATATATGTATACAGGTTTTTCACGGAGTGTTCTAATGTTGCTCATAAAAAGTGACCCACAGTCCGATCATTTATGAAAATGCTGGGTTTGTAATTGGGAACTAACTCATAGTCAATTAATACTAGTTTCTAAGAAATTATTGGAATTTTTCATAACTACAAAGTCATGTAGCCAATAGAAGTTGAATAGAATTATTTAGATCCATTTAGGCCTGAAGAGGGGTCTTAGAGATTAGTCTGACTCCTCATTTTGTTGGCAAAGAAGCAGAACCAAAGAGATCAAGAAACTTGTCTGAAGTCACCAGACCAGTTTGGCAGACCTAACCTGGCCTCCTGCCCTGGTGCCTGCTTCATCTCTGTGCTGGGATTTGGAAATACAGTTATCAAGATCTTTTATATGGTAACTCTATACCCAGGATTCTTCACGAGATAAACATTATGATTTCCTGCAGAATAAGAGTCAACTTGTAGAAAAAATTTTTTTCAATCACTTTTTCGTATAACAAAATAAGCTTTAAGGTGAAATTATCAACTTTTCCCAAGTGAAAGATTTAGTTGCCACACATAGTTTTATCATATAAAGCTTATAAATTTTTATAGGAAACATTGTAAAGAACATTTGCTATTCTTTTTTTATATTTTCCTTGTGGTCAGAAACCAAAGTTTACTTCTAAGGTTTGAAAAAAAAAATTGTTTTAGTTGGCTGGGCACAGTGTCTCATGCCTGTAATCCCAACCCTTTGGAAGGCCAAAGCGGGCAGATTGCTTCAGCCCAGGAGTTCAGGACCAGCCTGGGCAACATGATGAGACTCCATCTTTACGGAAATTTTTTAAATTAACCAGATGTGGTAGTATGTGCGTGCCTGTGATTTCAGCTCCTCAGGAGGCTCAGGCGGGAGGACTGCTTGAGCCCAGGAGGTCAAGGCTGCTATGAGCTACTGCATTCCAGCCTGGATGAAAGACTGAGACCCTTTCTCAAAAAAAAAAAGTTTTAGTTGCCCATCAGAGGCTTGTTTAGTTGACCTTAGTATCATAGGCTTTTGTTTTACTCAGAAAAAATGGCCTGTTTAATTTTTTGTCTTAGTCTAAGGCAAACCTCTTTTGTACTGATCAGCCTTAGATAAAGAAATTCCCGAAAAAAAAGGCCAGGCGCCGTGGCTCACGCCTGTAATCCCAGCACTTCAGGTGGCCAAGGCAGTTGGATCAGTTGAGGTCAGGAGTTTGAGATCAGCCTGGCTAACATGGCGAAACCCCGTCTCTACTAAAAATATAAAAATTACACGGGCATGGTGGTGCATGCACCTGTAATTAAAAGAAATTCCCAGGATGGTCTTCTCTTTCTCAGTTCTCAAGACTTGCTAATTTATTTTCCTTTTCAGTTTCAGCAAATCATGCATACTTTCCTCACCCCTATTAATTATAAAATGAGCAGCTACGGGTTGTGAGTGGTGGGTACATCAGGCAGTTATTTCATGGGGATGGAGAAGAGGCACATGGAGAGGATTTCCAGGCTGTTCATTTCAGTGGGCTTTTCATCAGGTACAGAATCATGGAGCACATGGCTCTTTGCTATTTTTGTCTTCAGCAGATGATGACTCATGAAATTAAGCAGGAGCGCAGTGTGTGTCTCTTGCCTTGTAATTAAAATGTCACATGCTAGAATTGCTTCCAAAGCATCGGACAGATTTCAGCTGATAGAAGGATCTAAATTGGTTAAAAAAAAAAAATACTTAGATGATGACCTTTATTAAGAGTCACTTCCTAATCTCAAATTGTAAACTGAAATTTTAGGAAGGTAGGCAGGCAGGTCAGCAGATTCTCTCTTAAACCACAAGTTCCATTAAACTAATAAACTTCTGTGGTCTAGATTTGAATTGCACAGTTCCAAGAAATGTAGAGAAGAATATAGGAGATGTGCAGTTGCAGACTGTTAGATACTGTGAGAGATAACAGTGTGGTTGACTCATAGTGGAGTTCAGATGTACATTCAGTAGTGACCCACTGCTATCTGCAAAGCATCGGACTTGAAACATCTGTTTCAGATCCTATTTCTGAAAACCTCATACTGTCCTTTTAAAATTCTGGTTGGAAGCTGGATTCTTAAAGGGCTTTTTGATTTATTATTATTCATGAATGGAGTTTGAAATTGGATGTCTTTCTGGCACAGATAGTCTAAGATGATTCTTTTCCCCTTTTCAGTGGAGACACTTTCTTCTCCCAACCTCACACTACTCTTGGGCTCTTTGAACTGTGTGTAGTTGTCTCTTGACAGCAGAGGACCTGTAACTGGTTAGAATTTGGCTGCTGACTAAAGAAATGGGGTTGTATGGAAGACCTGGGTGACCAAATAAAACGCGGAACTGCAAGTCAAATGCCTGCCACCCAATTTTCATTCTTGTGGAATTTTGAAGTTGACCAGATAGCAGTGTGTCTTTGAAAGGAACTGTCTTTTTTTCTACCCTCATGGGCATGTGAAGTGCTTCATCTGGATCCGAGTATCCTGCCCAGCATTATCTGCCATAGCAGCACTAAAAGACAGCTGTGGAAAGCCTGGTCCTCCTGCAGGACTTCAGGATCTCAGGGAGGTTTTCCAGACCACTTCTGACACTCTTTAAATGGAGTTATGTCTTCACCTGATAACACTTCATGGAAATGTCGCAGTCTTCAGACAAATCAGTCTCTCAGTTCTTGTCTTTGTAGATTGAAAGGTGCTACACAGCCAGCATTTGGAGAAGTTAGTGCCCCTGACAAAGTGAGCTCCAGGAGTACACAGTCATGCAGTATTACCAAAGTGAAACAGGTCTGGAGCAGGCTCACCCCTGTAATCCCAGCACGTTGAGAGTCCAAGGCAGGTGGATCACCGGAGGTCAGGAGTTCGAGACCAGCCTGGCCATCATCTCTACTAAAAACACAAAAGTTAGCTGGGCCTGGTGTCACACGCCTGTAGTCCCAGCTTCTTGGGATCGCTTGAACCCAGGAGGCGGAGGTTGTAGTGAGTGGAGATCCTGTCACTGCACTCCAGCCTGAGTGACAGAGCGAGAGAGACTACATCTCAAAAATAATAATAACTTTCAGAACCAGAGTTTAAAAATCCAATTCCTCGTCTATTTATCAATCACTTAGATCAGGCTGTATCTTAACCTTCCCATTGATAAGTGCCATTTGAGCACAGAGTACACAATTTTTAAAAACCTCATCCAAGAAATCTTTTTCTCTTAAAAGACAAATCCGGGACACAGTCAACTGGATTTTCAGTGAGCAAATGTTGGTTTACTACATCAGTGTTTTCCGGGATGCTTTTTGGCCAGATGGGAAGTTGGCACCACCGACCACGATCAGAAGCGCAGCGCGAAGTCGGGAAATCAAACAGAGAGCACAGCAAAAGCTGCTTGAGAACATTCCAGGTGAGGCCTGGGCTGTCACCCTGAAGAGCATAGAGGTCGTGAGGGAGTGTTAACCCCACTGGGGTGTTTTTCATTTGTCTTGCAGGAAACATTCTTTACAATGAAAAAAATGCATCATACTCTTTTTTTTCTTTTTTTTTTGAGACGGAGTTTCGCTCTTGTTACCCAGGCTGGAGTGCAATGGCGCGATCTCGGCTCACCGCAACCTCCGCCTCCTGGGTTCAGGCAATTCTCCTGCCTCAACCTCCTGAGTAGCTGGGATTACAGGCACGTGCCACCGTGCCCAGCTAATTTTTTGTATTTTTAGTAGAGACGGGGTTTCACCATGTTGACCAGGATGGTCTCGATCTCTTGACCTCATGATCCACCTGCCTCGGCCTCCCAAGTGCTGGGATTACAGGCGTGAGCCACCGCGCCCGGCCCTGGATCATACTCTTTTAAACCATGTTTTGTCACTTGCTAAGAAGCTATACTGAGAATCTTAAGAACTTGAAAAATGTTTTAGAATAGATAATAAATTTTGTATTTTAGAATTCCTGCTAAAGTATAGTGTTTTGAGAGATTAATTTTTAGCAAAATACTAACATTTTAATTATTAAAATTCGTAGTTGCAAAATATTAAAATTGTAACTTGTATAAATGCCTTATATTGAAAAATTCTCTCCTGAAGCATTTGAGAGAACTGAGGGTTCGTGTTTCTCATGCCCCGTGTCTTTATTGATTGGATGTGTGCAGTGTTATATTCCTTTCACTAGAGAGCCATGCCCTGAGAACTTTATCAACAGCAGCACAGAATATAAACTTAATTTTTCAGATATGCTTCAGAGCCTTGTTGGACAGCAGAATGCCCGCCATGGTATAATAAAAATATTCAATGCATTGCAAGAAACAAGAGCCAACAAGCATCTGTTATATGTGAGTAAATTAAAGCTCGGGGGTTTCTGCTTCATTTTGTCTGCTTCTTCATTTGGTTGGAAGAAACATCGACGCCCGTGGCTGCAGCACTCGGGTTCTCACGTACTAGTCGTCCCCCTTGCCTTTTTTTTTAGACAGTTTTGCTCTTTTCCCCCAGGCTGAAGTGCAAGGGCATGATCTCAGCTCACTGCAACCTCTGCCTCCTGGGTTCAAGTGATTCTCCTGCCTCAGCCTCCTGAGTAGCTGGGACTACAGGCACCTGCCACCACACCCAGCTAAATTTTATATTTTTAGTAGATACGGGGTTTCACCATCTTGGCCAGGGTGGTCTCTAACTCCTGACCTCAGGTGATCCGCCCACCTTGGCCTCCCAAAGTGCTGGCATTACAGATGTGAGCCACCTCGCCCATTCTCCCTTGACTTTTGATACAACATTGCTGCATAACTGCTTGGTTTTCCCAGTCATCTCTTTGATTATAGTTAACAATATCAAATACTGTTTGAGAGTTATTTGTTTACTGAGATAATTTCAGACCTAAAATTAGATTTTTCTCTTAGATGCAGGTATCTATTTCGAATAAACCCTTGGAGAAAAAAACACATTTTTCTACTTCTTTTCCTTCTTTCTTGGTTCAGGTGCTGATGGAACTGCTGCTAATTGAACTGTGTCCTGAGCTGAGAACTCATTTAGATCAACTTAAAACTGGTCAAGTTTGAGACTGCACAAATAAACCACCAGAAAAATGTCTGTGTAATAATAGACATGAAACATTTTCCTCTTTTCCACAGAGGGCCTGAATGAGAACCATACTGATTTCTGTTTTGGTCACCTCCCTCTAGTTTTATGTGAAATAAGCAGAATTGGGGAGGACGGGACTTATGCTGTGGTAGGCAACAGAAAAAAACTCATTGATTTTTATTTAATATAAATACTTTAAAGAACAACATACTAATTGAAATACAAACGTTAATATGTGAGAACTTAGGAAGTATTTTAAATATTTATGAGAAGATTTTGTTTTAAAATGAACTATGAATATTGTACAGTTATTTCCTCACTGAGGATTGTGAACATTCTTACATTATTTCATGTGTATTGAAGAACATTGTCGTGCAATGCTTTGTGTAAAGTTATTGTGAAGATTTTATTGTCTTTATTTTTACCAAAGATTTCCCATAGTTTTAGCATTCAAAGCAATAAAATACAAAAATGAATCACAGCACTCTATGATATTTAAGATACTTATATCTCAAAAAAACAGGTTGAAACTCTACAGGCAGTTCAAACATTTATCGAATGCCTTTTTATAGAAAACACTATGCACTTAACTACATCTGCAGGGACGTTTTTAAAGTTTGCTGCCTTTCTCCAGACAAAAAAATAAATATGTGAAATATATGATTCTTAGTGAGCAGAAAGAGCCAGTTAGTGCTTGAAGAGAGGCATTAGGGCTGGGCATGGTGGCTCACACTTGTAATCCCAGCACTTTGGAAGGCCGAGGCGGGTGGATCACGAGGTCAAGAGATCGAGACCATCCTGGTCAACATGGTGAAACCCCGTCTCTACTAAAAATACAAAAAATTAGCTGGGCACAGTGGCGCATGCCTGTAATCCCAGCTACCCAGGAGGCTGAGGCAGGAGAATTGCCTGAACACAGGAGGTGGAGGTTGCGGTGAGCCGAGATCGCGCCATTGCACTCCAGCCTGGGTAACAAGAGCGAAACTCCGTCTCAAAAAAAAAAAGGCATTAGGGAGGAGGGATGGGAGCTGACCCTGGGAGTATGGGCTGGACTGAGACGGGGTGGGGGGGGCGGGGGGGCGGGGGAGGGGTGGAAAGAGGAAGACGCAGCCCCTTCAGGGACTTGGTTGTGTCATCGAGCCTTTTAGACCACAGGGGCATTTGGGGAGATCTGGAGTAGAGATTTATGTTGTTATTGATACTGGGGCCATGGACAAGTACTTAATTTTCCTGGTTTCATCATCTATTATGCAATGATAATAGCTTCCCCTCTCTAATCCCCAAGAATATTGAAAAGAAAACAGTTAAAAGGTGAAAATTCAGTTTGAATCACTGAAAGATACCATATACCTGGGTGCATAACACATGCCAGATTATATACGTGTAATATATGCACCATACCCGCAAACTTCTTGATAAGAAACAAGTTCCGAAAGGTAAATGATTAAAAATTGGTAAGCCAAAATGTTATCCTTAAGATTTTTTTAGTTATTGCTTTTTTAAAACTATGATATTTGACACTTAAAAGAAATACCCAAAGTTGACTATTGATGAAAATTATCCTTCAAAAGACCATAGAAAAGACCAGAAAAAATACATTCAAGGAAGAGAAGAATGTGAAGTTGTCAAGTCCAAAGAACTTACCATAAAACAATTATTAGAAATGTCCACTTTCGGCATGATTCTATGCTGTCACTTAAACTGCAGCTGTTATGATTGCAAATGAGAAAGATCACTATTCTTTTGTCTCCTCTATATTAACGATAAATTGTTGTTTTTCCATGAGATACCAGCTATAAGGAAGCTTAGAGAAGGCGTGGGTGTGTGTGTGAGGGAGAGAGAGAGAGTAATGTTAGAGGTCACCACACTCACAGGTGAAGGGATGTACTGCTGTCCTCCGCAGTGGGAAACTGCAGGGGCTCACTTGTGCCAGAGCATCAGCTTTACGGTAACTACGGTAAACTGGAATTTTAATTCCGCATTGGATTTATGGAAAACATTTAAGCACAGCATGTTACCATGTACGGCGTATGTCCAAGTTTATGATTTCTGAAACCCATCTTTAAAAAATACTCTTTACTTAGGGCCAATTCTTTATTATGTTCCTATTTTAAGATTCTTTTTTTTTTTTTTTTTGAGACAGATTTTCCCTCTTGTCACCCAGGCTGGAGTGCAATGTCGCGATCTTGACTCACCACAACCTCCGCCTCACGGGTTCAAGCAATTCTCCTGCCTCAGCCTCCCAAGTAGCTGGGATTACAGGTGTCTGCCACCACACCCAGCTAATCTTTGTATTTTTAGAAGAGACAGGGTTTCACCATGTTGGCCAGGCTGGTCTTGAACTCCTGACCTCAGGGGATCTGCCCACTTCTGTCTCCCAAAGGCTGAGATTACAGGAATGAGCCACTGTACCTGGCTAAGATTCTTAAAGGTTCTTAAAGAATCTTTAGGAACTGGATTAAGTGTGGAAAAGAATACTAGTTGGGAAATTGGATCTTACATGGATGGTATTGAGAAAGAGATTTGAGAGAAATACGTGACCATTTGAGGATATCTCAAACCTGAATCTGTTGAAATTTCTTCCCTTACTATAAAGACAAAATGAAGTTCAAGCAATCTAGACAAGCCAGAACATAAAGCTAGAGCACATAACGCCATTCAGCAGCTCTTGGTGACTGTCACCTCCATATTAACTGCATTTTCCCATTTACTAAAAAAACCTTGTTTAAATCCACTGTCAGGATGGCTGCGATTATCAGTTATTTTATCAGTTGATAAAATAGGGATAGTTAGCATATCTTCAGTATGTGTCTTTGTTTCACAAACGGATAGCCTTGTAGAATCTTACGCGTAGAATCTTAGTGTTTTTACTGTCACCTTTTGCCTTCATAGACGTAATCTATATAAGGAAAACCTTTTGCTAACTTAACAATATTTAGTTGTGGTTCTTGTTGATGATTTCATTGAGGTTTTTTCCAGAGTGTTTTAAAAATGTAGAAAATGAGCTGAAGCAAAAAGAAATGACTTGCTTTATCTTATCAGTATTTTCATATAGCAGTTGTTTTACTCATTAAATTCCGATCCTTGAGAGAAGATTTGGAGGTCAGAGTCTAAAGCCCTGTCTTATAACCCACTTTTTTGAAGTTTATGTAATAAATTAGCCAATGGTTTATGAAGCTTTTTAAGAAGAGAGAGGTCTCAAAAGACTTAGTGCAGTTTTAGCTTTAGTAGCTTCAGGACAGAAATGCTACCCACACTTAAGTTTCTTTACATTTTTTTACCCTTATTTAGTTTTGTGAATTTGCATTTAAAAATTTTAAATGACTAAAACAAAATTCAAATGTTATTATTCAAAATTCACAAAACTAAGTGACAAATTTAAAGAATTAAACTTTCAAATGATGGCTTTGAATAAGTTTGTATCATTTCTACTTCTGAACTTATGAAACCAAAGCTATACTAAGTCTTTTTAGAGATTCGGTATTAAAGAAAGGAAAAAGATAGTTGCTTTATAGAATGGTTTTGATACTTGATATTGTCTAGGCCAGTCTGTAGGCTAAGAGGTGGACCTTTGAGGATTCTTCCAGCAATTTGACCCTGTATCTAGGTAAGTTGCAAAACTTAATAGTGTACAAATTCAAGAACGAAGTAACATGTTACCCGTAAAATACCCAGGATAGTGTAGTTTGCAATGTGCAAAATAGGCCAACATAGCTACTGTAAAAATGCACACGTCGTAAGGTGTTAGCATGGATGATCTTGGTTGAAATACACTGTGGTCTAAATTCTTTGATGAATAAGTAAAGAGTGAAGTTCATCCGCCAGTGCAGGATTCAGATGACAAGCCTTAAAACCAAAAAGAATCAGATATTTAGATACATTCTAATTGTTTGAGTCCTTTCTTTTTTTAATTCATTTCAGAATAGTAGGCCAGGCACAGTGTCTCACGCCTGTAATCCCAGCACTTCGGGAGGCCGAGGCAGGCAGATCATGAGATCAGGAGATTGAGACCATCCTGGCCAACATGGTGAAAAACACACCTAAAATACAGGTCTCTATTAAATATAAAAATTACCCGGGCCTGGTGGTGCATAATCCCAGATGCTCGGGATGCTGAGGCAGAAGAAGAGCTTGAACCAGGGAGCCGGAGATTACAGTGAGCTGGGATCATGCCACTGCACTCCAGCCTGGTGGCAGAGTGAGACTCTGTCTCCAACAAAAAGAAGAGTAAAGTACAGTGAATTTCAAGGAAATGTGTCAAGATACTTTCTGTTCTGATGTACTACTTTAACCAAAGCAGAATGGATCAGTATTCAAAATAACCATGTTTTTTTTTTTTGAGATGGAGTTTCGCTCTTGTTACCCAGGCTGGAGTGCAATGGCGCGATCTCGGCTCACCGCAACCTCCACCTCCTGGGTTCAGGCAATTCTCCTGCCTCAGCCTCCTGAGTAGCTGGGATTACAGGCACGCGCCACCATGCCCAGCTGATTTTTTGTATTTTTAGTAGAGACGGGGTTTCACCATGTTGACCAGGATGGTCTCGATCTCTTGACCTCGTGATCCACCTGCCTCGGCCTCCCAAAGTGCCGGGATTACAGGCGTGAGCCACCATGCCCGGCCAAAACAACCATGTTCTTATCATTTGAAAGACAGAACATTTTATCAGTGCCCAGAATAAAGGGAACTTAGGCACCGGCGATAGCATTTTATTTTATGAATTATTAGTCAGTAAAATGGAAAGCATTAACATTTGGCCTCAGAGTTGATCTCATTATGTGAATTTTAAAATATATACCTAAAATAGTTTTATTGTATCTCAATAGTGACAAGGTGCATAATTTCTAGAATGTCAAGAATTAGGGAGAGAGCTCTCTCATCCAAAGCCCACTCTGTGCAGAAAGTGTCCCTTCAGTACCGTGACAATTGGTCACTAGGTATTTGCCTGGTTGCTTCCAGCAACAGGAAGTTACCACCTTTAGAGAAACTTGTGTTTTTGTTTCCTCAACTGTTGTCTCTTCTTGAAATTTTAAGCTGATATTTCTATCCATGTACTCTAGAGTCATTGAAAGGTCCTAACAGAATACATAATGATTGTTTCACAGAACCTAAGACTCCAGGAAGTTGGAGTCGTCCCGCCTGACAGTGGCAGAGTTGAGAGCAGGCCTGGGTCTGCCACCTCCGGGTCATCTTACTGCCTTGCCTTCTGCTGTAACACACTGCCTGCCGTGGGCTCTGATTCTGCTCACTCCCCACCCATTCCCTTCCTATGGGACACTGCCGGTCTGGTGAAGGCCACAGTCAGGACCCCTCCTTTCCTTTGGCTCTGAGGGAGGCAGTCTCCCTCAGATGACATCATTCCAGACCCTTCACTAGTTTACTTCCTCAAAATGATCTCCATGTTATCAGTATCCTCGTAATGTACAATGGCCCAAACTGGGAGTATTCTAGATGTGGTCTTTTTAATGCAGAGTCATGGGGCTGTTTTCTCCCATCGTATGGAAAATCGTTCTCAGATTGCAATCCTTTTTTTTGAGATGGAGTCTCGCTCTGTCACTCAGGATGGAGTGCAGTGGCCCAACCTCAGCTCACTGCAACCTCCTCCTTGCAGGTTCAGCCATTCTCTTGCCTCAGCCTTCCAAGTAGCTGGGACTACAGGCATGTGCCACCACCATGGGCTAATTTTGTATTTATAGTAGAGACGGGGTTTTGCCATGTTGGCCAGGTTGGTCTCAAACTTCTGGCTTCAGGTGATCCTCCCACCTCAGCCTCCCTCAGTGCTGGGATTACAGGCGTGAGGCACCGCGCCCAGCCTTGGTTTACTGTTTTATTCAGGATGAATATATACCACATTTCAGAATATGTTTGACTAAAGTTTTCTTTTTTTTTTTTTTAAGAGAATTCCTAAGTCTCATTGACTAGAATTTTCTAAGGATATTAAGCATAGCATAGAACCTGAAATTGGCTTCGCTTGGAAATTGGTGTAATACAGAGAGCTTTTTATTTTTTGAGACGGAGTACCAGGCTGGAGTGCAGTGGCATGATCTCAGCTCACTGGAACCTCCGTCTCCCAGGTTCAAGCAGTTCTCCTGCCTCAGCTTCCAGAGTAGCAGGGATTTCAGGCACGCGCCACCACACCTGACTGATGTTTGTATTTGTGGCGAAACTCCATCTCTACTCTATTGGCCAGGCTGGTCTCAAACTCCTGACCTCAAGTGATCTGCCCGCCTCAGTCTCCCAAAGTGTTGGGATTACAGGCATGAGCCACTGCACCCAGCCAGTACAGAGAGCATTTAAATGAAAAAAGTTAGACAACTATTTATACTAGGAATGGTGTAGCGGTAGGTACCTCAAAGATCAGTTGCATTTGGCTGTGTGCTGTGTTTATGTGTTAATATGACTTTGATGCTCTGGAAGTTTTAATTTTAAACAAAGTAATTTAGGGTTCCCAAACTTACCTAACATTGGAATCCCATGGGGAGCTTCAACAAATAAGCTCTGTCTCCTAGAGACCATGACTGAAATTTTCTGAAATAAGGCCTGAACTTTGGAATTGGTAAAAGATCCTCAGGTGATTTTAACATGCAGAGAAGCTTGGGAACCACTGCTGTGATCTCAGAGTCAGCCACGGGACTCAAAAGACTGTTCCCTCCATCATTCCCCCACGCAAGCTGAACAGTCTGTGTACTACACCATTGCTTTACAAAGTCTGTCATGATGCAATTCTAGTTGGGACTCATGGATGTGATGGACCTAAGATGTGCACAGCTTTTTAAAACTCAGAGTTAGTATTCATAACGATCCCCCTTACCCCTCCACTGCCACACCCCTTGCTTTTTAGTACTCTATTTTAAACCTGAAATGCATTTGGGATCTAAATAAATTGGCCACATGGATTAAAATATGAAAAGCTTATTTTAACTGATTACCTCAAACTCAAGAATATCCCTCCTAAGTGTGGTAGATGTCATGCCCCAAAAAGCTTGATATTTCATTGCATACTAGAATGAACACACAGGTTCACACTTTTTCTAGATGAAAGACATGAACCGTTCTGCTTTAAGGCCTTGCTGCTGGGCCTTAGGCTGCAGACCGACGCAGAATGAAAGTAATTTGCATCAAAATAGGACTTTTAATCATTTGAGCTAAATTATGCTAATAAGAATCTGACAGAATTGTCTGCAAACAATCTGCACGTCTGACAGCCTCTCTGTAGACAGAGGTTATCTGCCCAGTAATTGAGTGGCAAGAAACCACTAATCCATAAAATCATCCAAGCTGCAGCTACAAGCCTGGCAGTTTCTCTTTGGGTCAGTTTATGTTTTGTTCCAAAGCTTACTTTAGAATAATAGTGTTTAGCTGTCGCTTCGTCCCTGGTGATGCCCAAGCCAAGCTGAAGACACCTTGCGTGGTAGAAGGATGCCATCGCCATGCCTCTGATGATGAACTCTGGGAGACACTCTGTGACCTGGGCGATCATGGGGATGTCGTGAACCTCATCATAATCGGCAATCCTGAGAGGATGGAGAGTTGTGAAATTGAAGAGGACATCAGTTATGGTTTAAGTGTAAAACGATGTGCCTAGAAACTCCTTGTGCCCAAGTGATTTCTCTCTGCTGCCTTGAGAACTGAGTTGTTTGCTGTGTGCTGAAGGGTTCATGTAGCTAGCCATCTCCTACCAGGAGATGAACTTAACATAGTGGTCTTTACATCTCTATAATTATGCTCAGGCTCAACCACTAGAAAACAAAGGTATGTTTCTTTTTTCTTGTAATATTACGATTGGAAGTTTAACATCACTTAAGTTTATGTGACTTAAGTTTAAGTGGATTTAAACTTAATGGAGGAGAAAGCATTTTCTTTTTCTTTGGATCACGTATGGAAACATATCCTTAAATTTGGACTAGCCACATAGGACCAGAAAACCTTTTAAGTAAAGTAGCACATCTTCTTTAAAAATGGGCAATGAAAAGAAGTCATCCTTTACACCCAGACATAAACATGGAGAATTGTGTGAAAATGCAATCCAGTCAGCTCCATGTTAATCGGTGTTATATAGGTTAACATGTTAACCACAGTGTTAACTCCATATTAACCACAATGAGTAGGAATGTGGAAAATAATGGAAAGTGCCAAAGATTTTAAAGATTTAAAGTCTTAGTTCTAACTAAGATGAGCACTTGCTTTTAGACACTGGCAATCACTCCTGTAACTGGTCTGCTGCCCGGAGCCCAAGACAGTGAGGAAGGGGCTAAAAGCAGCTCCTCCCCTGCTTCATTCTCTCTTATAGATCACTGGCCTGCACTAGAGCTTGGAGAGAGGGGAGACCCGGCGCTGGGAAACACACCAGCATACGCAGAGTCCGATGGCCACTGCAGGGAACACCCAGGTCTGTTTCCCTGACACATCGCTTTTATACACTGTGGGTAAATATATGTAGGAAAGTACATGGAGCCTTAGGGACTCCAGAAAAAGACTTTCTTGTATATTTTATCAGGTACAGTGTCAGTCTTTTAACCATATTCGCACGTTACAGTTCCTACGAAGCTGTCTTTTAGCTGTGCACTTACAGAACTGCATGACCGAGGAGTGTGGGAAGAAGGGAAGACATAGTAAATATTTGTGATATGCCAAGCTGTGTTAAGCACATGATGATGATCCTGCTGTAAAAGCATTCTCTTCTTACAAAGAAGGCAGCTGCTGCTGAAGAAGCTTGCTTCAGCTGGCGCGATCCTGAAGGCTAATCGCATAGAGTTGTGCTATCCAGTATGGTCACCACTAGCCACATGAATATTGACATTAATTAAAATGTTAAAAGTTGATGAGTGCTCAGTTGCACTTGACACGTTTCAAGTGCTCAGTAGCTGTCATTTCTAATGCTGCGGAAAGCTCTGGAGGATCTGGCACAGAACAGGTAGGAGTTCTTGTCAATGCCGTCGTCCAGTTGACTTCATTAGACATTGCTGTGGTTCGAGTAAGAAGTTCCCTCCAAAATCCCGTGTTGCTAGTGTGAGCCTATCAAGAGGTGGGGCCCTTAAGAGGCCATCAGGCCGTGAGGGCGCCTCCCTCATGAGTAGGACTAAAGCCCTTTTTATAAAAGAGGTTTCCTGTGGCTTTCCGCTGTCACAGGAGGACATGACGGTCTTCCCCTTTGGAGGCTGCCGTCCTCACCAGACAACCAAACCTACCTTGATCTTGAACTTCCTGGCCTCTGGAACTGTGAGAAATTTCTGTTCCTTATAAATTACCTAATATGTGGTATTCTGTTACAGGACCACAGAACAAAGATATTCACCTTTTGGAAAATGCAACACACTTGGTAAAAAACTTCATCTTGTAGTAATACTCCACGAGATTCCCTTGAGCATAGACATTTCCCCGCTCCGCTGCTTCTCTCAAGCAGTGCAGGGCAGCTTCAGTATCCTGGCGGATGCCTTGTCCATACAAATACATGAGACCAAGCGCACCCTGGGACTCCAGGTTTCCATTGCCACATGCCTCTGAATGCCAGTAAAATGCCTGAGGAAAGCACAGTTCCGTCATTTTATGATCCACTCGATGAAATTATAAGGGAATACTAGACAGAAAAGAAACCTGTGGTTACAGGATAGCACCATTGATCATCTCCAGGAAATAGCCATAGGCCTTTGGACACATTTCACGCTGGCACATGTGATCTAGCGGGCCTAGAGTTAGAACCTGTACACTGCCATTTTATAAAGAGACAAAACTGTTTCCATTCTCCTCACTATGACCGCTAACCTTGGCTCCCGCAAACTGCTAAGTTTACTTTGCAGGATGCAGAGAGGTAAAGCCGCATACCTTCTTTTATCTGTAAGTGCCAGAATTGCTGGCCTTTGTTTACCAGTATTAACCAGAATAAGCACCCCCAGATAATTCCATCCTAGTGCCAAGTAACTAAAAAATCTGTGGACCCCACACCTGCCCAAATAATGTTAAACTAATGTTTATCTTGACTTCTGTAAACCAATTAAGTGGCAATCGGAATGACAAAAGTCCCCTGGCCCTTGGAATGTCCGGAGCCCCCTCACCCTCCTCTCTACCCAGGAGGTGATTTACGGCCCCCGAAATGTCCGAAGACTTTCATCCCCATCCCCACTCCTCACCCCCACTTCCAAGGTGGTTTTGCGGGTATAAAAAGGTCTTGTCACCCTTCTTTCTCGGCCACGGGTTGGAGAGACGTGAGTCCTCCGTGGTCGCCGGCAACAAACCCTGCAATTTGGCATACTTTTGTTCTGGTGTTGACTTCCTGTGCTAAGTTCAATGCAACACACTGGCATTAAAACAGAAAGAAGGGAATGTCACCTTTTCTAACTCTCTGGGCTCCTCGGTTGAGTAATACAGCCCGAGGATGCCTTGCGCCTTCACGCTGGCTCTGGGATTTCCATTGTCTGCTGCAATAAGCCACAGTCTGCAAGAGAAAGTGAGGCACGTTATTCTTGGTGTCCGTATTTCATTCACTGCTCTCGTTCTCAGGCGGGATTACCTTTCAGCTTCCTCATTTGATTGTTTAACGCCTTTTCCTTCATAATAAGCTCTTCCGAGGTTGTAAGCAGCTGCAAACTTTAAGTGCCTTGCATTGGGACATGGAGAATCAATAATTTTCCTCATATACTCCACCCCTTTCTCCTTTGACAAAAGAAAACAAACAAAAAAAAACCCTAATTTTTAGTTTTATCCAAACTGGCTTTCTTTCTCCCAATAAGGCTGTGAAGCGTCGCCCTCTGACCTAATATGTCATAGTGTGAATCTGTGCCCGAGGGGTACGATTGTCCTGGATTCTTCAGGGCAAGTGATAAGGATGAAAAGTATTTCTAATAGTACATCTCCTGTTCAGGCACTCCCAGGAGCTCTGGGATATAAGACATTTCCTTCCTTTTACAGCGGCCCGAGTTGATTTAAGTCTCAATTTGGGCTTCCTTTTTTCTCTTCTCCCGCCCATCCGAGAATCCTCATCCTGAATCAGCATAGTTGTTAGAACTGACTGAAGTGCAAGAATGGTCGGGAACTTCTTTCACATTTCTAATTCTTACAATACACGTGGGAGCCCCTAACACATACTGTCTTCCGTTCAAGCATACCTTTACTGTGTGCTCATAGTTCGCATCTAATATACAAATCTTAGTCACTAATACGACAGTAGTCACAAGGAAAGCATAGATGATATTCTAACCACTAGCAAGACCAGGTCAGCACCCTCCACCCCCAAATCCATCAGACACAAACCTTTAAACATCACCCAGAAGAAGAAAATAATGTTGGACAAGCAAATATATTTTGGTTTTTCTTTGTTTGTTTGAGATGGAGTCTTGCTCTGTCACCCAGGCTGGGGCACAGTAGAGTGATCTTGGCTCACTGCAGCCTCCCACCACTGCCTCCTAAGTAGCTGGGATCGCAAGCATGTGCCACCAATGTGCAGCCAATTTTTTTATTTTTGGTAGAGACAGGGTTTCACCATGTTGGCCAGGCTAGTCTCAAACTCCTGACCTCAAGTCATCTGTCTGTCTCGGTCTCCCAAAGTGCTGGGATTACAGGCGTGAGCCACCATGCCTGACCTCAAATACATTTTGATACACTTCATTGTAGCTTTTCCCTCACTGCTTTCTCAAAGTGCTACTGCTTGCAATAGATGAGAAAGTGAAGGAGTTTTGGTGATGCCTAAGTTATAGGGACTCATTTTTGTGAATGTGTGAAGTAGGTATCTACCATTTCCCCTACCTGAACTGTACAGTAAGATAATTTTCGGTAACAGTTGTCAAGTGAAGTGGTTCATACATCTTCCCACAGATTACGATTCAGTCTGGACAAAATATTTAAAACACTGTCTGTAGGTAGCGGACAGTAGCAAGCAAGCAGGCCAAAGAAGAGATTACTCTCGAAAACTGCAACTGTAAGGGATCCACAGAGTTCAGTGAGTCCGAGGCAGGACAAACAAAACCCTCTCCCAGGCACACATCATGCTCAAACTGCTAAAAGCCAAACCTAAAGAAAAGCTTGAAAGCAGCTAGAGGAAAATGACACATTATCTTCAATAAAACTAGGGACTGGGCTGGACGCAGTGGCTCACTTTAGGAGGCTGAGGTGGGTAGATCACCTGAGGTCAGGAGTTTGAGACCAGCCTGGCCAACATGATGAAACCCTGTCTCTACTAAAAATACAAAAATCAGCCAGGCGCAGTGGTATGTGCTCGTAGTCCCAGCCACTGCAGAGGCTGAGGTGCAAGAATCAGTTGAATCTGGGAGGCACAGTTTGTAGTGAGCTGAGATTGTGCCATTGCACTCTAGCCTGAGCAAAAAGGAAAACTCCATCTAAAAAAAATATATATATATAGGGACCAGCTTCATGAGAAAGAAAACCAGATGATTTTAGCATAACATTTAAAGTGTGGACAGAAAGAACTGTCATCCAGAAAAATAATTCATAAAAAATGAAGGCAAATTAAAGGCATTCTTAAATGTTTAACAAAATTAGAGAAAACTCAACTCCAGACCCACGCTACAAGAAATGCCCCTTAATGAAAGTCATTCAGGGCCAGGCGTGGTGGCTCACGCTTGTAATCCCAGCACTTTGGGAGGCCAAGGCAAGTGGATCACCTGAGGTCAGGAGTTTGAGGCCAGCCTGGACAACATGGTGAAACCCTGACTCTACTAAAAATGCAAAAATTATCTGGGCATGGTGGTGGCACCTGTAATCCCAGCTACTCTGGAGGCTGAGGCAGGAGAATCACTTAAACTCAGGAGGCAGAGGTTGCAGTGAGCCAAGATCGTGCCACTGCACTTCAGCCTGGGCGACAGAGTGAGATTCTGTCTCAAAAAATAAAAAGTCACTGAGGTTGAAAGAAAGTAGGAAATGGTGCCAGATGGCAGCTCAGGCTGATAGCAAGGAACGAGGAGCACCGACGGGGTAGCAAACATCAGAGGACACCCGAGCGCTCATGTAGGTGTATACATATTTTTCTCTCTTTTTCCCAAAGATGTGTGGGGAAAAAAACTAACGCAGAAACTGTAACTGTAATTGGTATTCTGGGGTCGATGACCCAGATAAATGTAACATTTATACCAGAACAAATAGCACCAAGGATTGGGAGTGGGTAAGTGAAAACACTCCTTCAGCGTTCCTGTGATTCACCTGAAGTAACTCGCTATTAACTCTGTAAATGGTGACATTTGAAAGTGCGTATTACAGGCCGGGCGCGGTGGCTCACGCCTGTAATCCCAGCACTTTGGGAGGCCGAGGCGGGTGGATCACGAGGTCAAGAGATCGAGACCATCCTGGTCAACCTGTTGAAACCCCGTCTCTACTAAAAATACAAAACATTAGCTGGGCATGCTGGCGCGTGCCTGTAATCCCAGCTACTCAGGAGGCTGAGGCAGGAGAATTGCCTGAACCCAGGAGGCGGAGGTTGCGGTGAGCCGAGATCGCGCCATTGCACTCCAGCCTGGGGAACAAGAGCGAAACTCTGTCTCAAAAAAAAAAGGAAAGTGCGTATTACAATCTCTAAAAAAAAAGAACAGCTAAAAAATTAAGTGGAATGCTAAATGGTAATCAAATCCCATCACCATTTCTCTTAAATCTGAAATAACTTTTTTTTTTTTTAATTTTGAGACAGTCTCACTTCGTCACCCAGGCTGGAGTGCAGTGGTGCGAACTCAGCTCACTGCAGCCTCTGCTTCCTGGTTTCAAGTGATTCTCCTGCTTCAGCCTCCCAGGTAGCTGGGATTACAGGCATGTGCCACCACGCCTGGCTAATTTTTGTATTTTTAGTAGAGATGGGGTTGCACCATGTTGGTCAGGCTGGTCTCGAACTCCTGACCTCAGGTGATCCACCTGCATTGGCCTCCCAAATTGTTGCCGTGAGCCACCACACCTGAACAGAAATAGCAATTTTATGATATGCTAAATACCCATGTATGTATGTGGGTGATACCCAGTTATGTGAATCTGGAAGGGTTTTGGAGAGAAGCTGATAGTCTGGGGTTGGGGTTGGGATGCAGAAAGGAAAGAGAGGCAAAAAGAAATTGATTTTTTAAAATGTTTTTTATATAAATGTAAAAGTACCAATATTCTTTAAGATGCTAAAAATCTAGATGTCATTCAAATATAAGGATAGATATGTATTAAAATGTCATTTTAATTGTGTCCAATAATCCACTGACAGTGCAATCTTAACCACTGTGACCAAGACACGAACTTACAGCATCTGGAGTGGTCCCAAGCCCGTCATAATACATCACTCCTAGCTGGTAAGTTGCTTGATGGTCTTTCTCCTTGATTTCTTCAAACTGTTCTAATGCTTTTTCATACCATCCCTAGAAGCACCCAGAAAATATTTAATTATGATCTTAAAGTAATCCCAGGCCTGGCGCAGGGGCTCATGCCTGTATTCCCAGCACTTTGGGAGGCTGAGGCGGGTGGATCACAAGGTCAGGAGATCGAGACCATTCTGGCTAATATGGTGAAACCCCATCTCTACTAAAGATAAAAATTAGCCAGATGTGGTCGCCTGTAGTCCCAGCTACTCAGGAGGCCTAGGCAGGAGAATTGCTTGAACCCAGGAGGCAGAGGTTGCAGTGAGCCAAGATTGCGCTGCTGCACTCCAGCCTGGCGACCGTGTGAGACTCTCTCAAAAAAAAAAAAGTAATCCCAAACAGGCACGAAGGGGTCAAGTGTTTGTGCCCAAGTTGAACACACAGTTAACAAGCAATGCAGCCATATCTGAACCCAGGCCGCACGCCGAGGAAGCACGCTCTCCGCCATGGTGCTCTGCCATCCTCAGAGTGACAGGCACACGATGGGCCCTCAGCAAACATCTGTTGCCAGGATAGATGAAGGTACCATTGAAAAGTGGGATATAGGTGAACAGCTGCCCAAATATCAGTGAATGAAGGACAGTGGGTCCCTCTTCCAGTCTTCCCGTGAAATGAGAAAGGGACACGACGTGACTGAAGTTGGGGTGACAGCTCACTGTACTTGCCAGGCTACCTCAGCGTGATGTGGAGAAAGAGGGCGATTTCCTGCTATGCTATCCAGGGACACCTAAAGCTGCCTCTACGTACTAGATAAAAACCAGGGCTCCAGTGAGTATTAATATGAAGCTATCTGATTATATATATATATATATATATATTTCTTTTTTTTTTTTTTTTTGAGAGGAAGTCTCGCTCTGTCACCCAGGCTGGAGTACACTGGCACCTTGTCGGTTCACTGCAACCTCCACCTCCCAGGTTCAAGCAGTTCTCTGCCTCAGCCTCCCAAGTAGCTGGGGTTATAGGCGCACACCACCATGCCTGGTGATTTTGTGTGTGTGTGTGTGTGTGTGTATTTTTAGTAGAGATGGGGTTTCACCATGTTGACCAGGCTGGTCTCCAACTCCTGACCTCAGGTGATCCACCCACCTCAGCCTCCCAAAGTGCTAGGATTAGAGGTGTCAGCCACCACACCTGGCCTGATAATATAACTTGTATTATTAAATATTTTGAGCAAAAATATAAAATTTGATTTTTAATATATAATGTAAAATTGATTTTATACTAAAATGACTCCCATAAATGGCATTCATGACATGGATTTTATGAAGAAAGGTCGGCTAGCCGCCTAGGCTGGCAGCACCGCGTCCTCCTTAAAGCCATCGCCATAGTTGGTGTAATTTGACAGAGTTTTCCTAGTATAACACAGTAAGAAACTCTCACGAAGTTTTTCTCTGAGGATGTAACCACATAATTACAGGAAATGAAAATGAATAAACAAAAAACGATACCTCTTCAAAATAGAGTTGACCTCGTAGGAAATATGCCAGAGGGTCCCCTTTTCGTATTCTTTCCTTCAAGAGGGGCAATGCCTTATCCACCAAACCAGCGTGGGTGTCATGATCTGATTTTAAAAAGGGAAGGAATTTCATTAACCACATGATATACATTATCATAACATGATATCCATTTTCTCTCCTGAAGTAATAAATCATATAAAATCCATCGAACACGGTGGACATTATTCCTACAGCTGGCCTCCTGAGCTCAAGGAGTCCTTCCTGAAAAAGGGCGTGATCACAGAACCTAACACTGTGCCTTGTATAATAAGGCAATATTGGCCGGGCGCGGTGGCTCCTGCCTGTAATCCCAGCGCTTCGGGAGGTGGAGGCGGGCGGGTCACCTGAGGTCGGGAGTCTGAGACCAGCCGGACCAACATGGAGAAACACCATCTCTACTAAAAATACAAAATGAGCCAGCCGGGCATGGTGGCGCGTGCCTGTGATCCCAGCCACTCAGGAGGCTGAGGCAGGAGAATCGCTTGAACCCGGGAGGCGGAGGTCATGGTGAGCCGAGATCGCGCCATTGCACTCCAGCCTGGGCAACAACAGTGAAAGTCCGTCTCAAAAAACAAACAAAAAGATTCGCTTGTTGACTGTTTTCACGCTGACCCTGCTCACGGCCAGGTGGGAGCCCTACCGGTGCAGGGCTGGGTACACGTCCATGCACTGGTTTGTCTTCAGTGCGCGAAGCTGCCTGGAGGGGCGAGTTCAAGTCTTAATTTGAGAGCTCCTCTAACCAAATGAGCAACCCATCCCTAAGAAAATATGTTTAAGTCTATAGGGAAAAATGAGGTATTTAAATAACAATTGCAAGTAAAGCCCGGGCGCGGTGGCTCAAGCCTGTAATCCCAGCCCTTTGGGAGGCCGAGGTGGGTGGATCATGACAAGAGATGGAGACCATCCCGGTCAACATGGTGAAACCCCGTCTCTACTAAAAATATTTAAAAAAAAATTAGCTGGGCACAGTGGCGCGTGCCTGTAATCCCAGCTACTCGGGAGGCTGAGGCAGGAGAATTGCCTGAACCCAGGAGGCGGAGGTTGCGGGGAGCCCAGATCGCGCCATTGCACTCCAGCCTGGGTAACAAGAGCGAAACTCCGTCTCCAAAAATAAATAAATACATAAATAATAATAATAATAATTGCAAGTAAAGCATGGGATTGCTCTCTTGAACGGAAGTGACATCTGGCTTCTGTTTTCTAGAAGCATGTTTGTAAGTCCTGAGAATAAAATCAAGGCCGAACTCTCTGTGAGACCTGACTGGTGATTTGCTACCAGATAAATGAGCAGTTTCACAGATTCTTGCAGGAAAACGCGGAAGCACTGTCATGACGAGCCGCTCCCTTGAAATCAGTAAAACACGTTATTTCTCGTCTTGTTTGTTCTAGCATACAAAGTGAACTTTGAGTGAGTGTTTTCCAAGGGAAGCTTCAATCTCAGGATTTGTACCAGTCTTTTCCTTTTTCCACTGGAAGAATTGTTGGTTTTTAGCAGCATACGGAGATACAGAGGCATAAAAGGGGTTCTTGGGCAACTTTTCACTGGTCAACTTCATCCTTTTTCCACAACGTGTATTCTGTAAGCAAGAATAAAAAACAAGATGGTAAGAAATTCCTTCCTCCAGCAAAGTGCAAAGAGAGGCTCTAGTCCCCCACCAGCTGCTCATTACAATCGCCGAGATAGAACACCGTCCACCCACTCTAGGATGTGAATATTCTTTCCTAGGACACCAAGACCCTCCCCAGCCGAGACGCAGCCATTCTCCATGTCACTGTCCACAGAGTGCCACTAACGATGAGACCTGTTTGCACGACCTGTCTGGCTATGGGTTTATTCATGAAGATGAGTCACATTGTCCAGCGTTGCCACATAGTGGGACCTGGTGAGACCGCCACGGATAGAGTTCTTCTGCACCAGTACTTTCTGTGCCTTCGTAACTGACAGCCATCGGACGAATCCATTTCACATGAAAGCACGTGTCTGTTTTACCTGGGAACACACCGTATTTTAGCTGTGTTCGGTTTTATCTTCCTGTCTGTAGTGGATTGCCATGGTATAAGATGGATCACAGTTGAATCGTAAATCTGTGTCTTCATATAAAACGTAGAGGTCACCTCATTTGGGGTGAAGGGGTCCGGCTTGGCCTAGGCGGAGCGTATGAGGCAGCAAACCTAGTTGTTGCTACGCTTTTGTGTTTACTCCTTGCCATTCCACTGTTACGGCTTTCACCAATCGGAAACAAGCTTCCAGCAAAGGTGCCTGATTGGTGGCCAAGAGAAGAACTGGAGAGACCTTTAGTGTGAGTGGAAAGCTGCGTCTTTACATAATGACATGATGCTATATTAGAAAATAAATTGCTTAAGTGAGAATGGAATGCAGAAAAAAGAAATATTCAGTATATTAGGGAAAAAATCACTGAACTGTCTTTGTCATTTTGGAAGTCATTTAATCTTTTTTTTTTTTTTTTTTTTTGAGACAGTCCTGCTCTGTCGCCAGGCTGAAGTGCAGTGGTGCCATTTCAGCTCACTGCAGCCTCTGCCTCCTGGGTTCAAGTGATTCTTCCGTCTCAGCCTCCCAAGTAGCTGGGACCACAGGCGTTTGCCACCATGCCCAGCTACTTTTTTGTATTTTTAGTAGAGACGGGGTTTCACCATATTGGCCAGGATGGTCTCAATCTCTTGACCTCGTGATCTGCCCACCTCGGCCTCCCAAAGTGCTGGGATTACAGGTGTGAGCCACCGCGCCCGGCCACATCATTGTCATTCTTGTATGTGACGACTGGATCTCTGGAATCAAAAGGAATCAGCTTAAAGACTGCGTGATTTGATTAGCTCAGCAAAGTGGCAGGGTGCAAAATAAGTGAACAAAAATGAGAAGCATATTTTTCATAGCCAGTGAGAAGGTACATTTGGCACGGAATGTTCATTCATAGTAACACAAAAATATGAAATATGTGGGAGTAACCTCAGAGAAGTATCTATGACCTATATGTAGAAAACTATTAACATTTTAAAAATCCAGGACTCAGTCAGAGACCAAGAAAGTGGTGGGCAGAGAGGACAAGAGAAAAGACTGGGCCCCAGCCTAACTCGGTGCTCTTAAGGACACAGGGCAGGTGGATTCCAGCTGTTTCTGTGCTTTGGAAAAGCTGCTTGATGGTGTTTTCATCTGTGCGTGAGCTTCATCCTCACTAGTCCTGGCCCACATCTTTGGATACAGGAGACACGTACACCCCAACGTGACCCCTGGACCTTGGAGACTGCATCCTCCAGCAGTGCCTGGGACTCTTGTACACAGAGGGGTCAGTAGACCCCCCTCAGTTGCTTGGGACTTACTGAAAGAACTAGCTAGTGGTGACGAGCTCAGGCAGCAGCACTGCGAAAGCCACTGAGCTAAGGACGGAGTCAGGTGGATGCCCTGGATACATGTACGTATATTATGTTTACTAATATATAAAAGGAAAGAAGGGGAGAAAAAGACCCTACAGGTAAACACATCAAAACCATTACGTTGGCTGGGCGCGGGGGCTCATGCCTGCCTGTAATCCCAGCACTTTCAGAGGCCAAGGTGGGTGGATCACCTGAGATCAGGAGTTCAAGACCAGCCTGGGCAACATGGTGAAATCCCATCTCTACTAAAAATACAAAAATTACCTGGGCTGGTGGTACGTGCCTGTAATCCCAGCTACTTGGGAGGCTGAGGTGTGGCCAGTGTCACGTCGGGGTCACCACCTGCAGAGGTCTGTCCTGCAGACCTTGACCCAACAATGGATGAATAAAATGCACTCGCACACCAGCACACGGTGAATCTGAGAGGGCTAGGGATGGTCGTCAGCTGCTTTCAGAGGGCGACTGCAGCTAACTGACCAGGTTTCCGTGTCCTCCTCGCATTTATTCAGTATAGATTTAAAAGAGGTTCTAAGTCAACATACTCGTGGATAGTTGACGTGGTTAAAAGAGTGGTTTTACGAATGATAAAATGTCTTGGTTCTGGAGACCCAGAGTAAACACCATCAAGGGGTAATTCCCCTTTGTCCAGCACAAAGTTTACATGAGCAAACAAATTAGAGTAGAAACAAAGGAATGTGGAGTAAACAGACTTACCTGGGAAAGCTTTTATTGTCCCTACCTTTTACCCTATGACTCAGAGTTCTAACGGAATGAACTGGCGGCCTTCAGGCCATTCCATTAAAACCTTTGGAACTTCCAAAAGGTTCTAGACTATAATCTTCTAACTTTCCCTAATATTTTGCCAGCCACCCCGAGTGAATCACTGAAGCACGAGATGGGAGGTGAAGACTGCAGTGATCTGGGATTGTGCCCAGCACTGTGGCGGGGGCAACAGAGCAAGATCAGTCTGAAAAACGAACAAATAAACATTCAAACAAAAACCACTGTGTTGAACTGTGGAATTATGCACAGGTATATAACACCTTATCTGAAACCTTGGGAATGGGTATGTTTTAGAATTCAGATTTTGTGTTTGTGTTTTGGAAATGTCACACAATACACAAATAACATCTTACACATGTACACCATCATACTGCAGAAGCACCTGAGGATGGTCTAGGATTGCACCCTTTTGCCATAATTGTATTTCTGCAGTAAAATGTAATGTTGTTCACACAAATGGAATAAACACTAAATATAGCCTCGGGTGTGTGCAGGAAAGATGAGCTTGCTGCCTTAAGAAGTATGAAAATACTTTGTTTCAGCCCTCCATGTATTTTTGAATTACCAGGAAGAGACTGAGGACCTGTACATTTCTCTTCTGTATTTCTCAAATGTTCTGTAGTAATATTGTGGTGAGGTCACAAATTTACTGACATTGCCCATAGATGGACAGCCTTAAGCCTCCATATTCCCCCTAAGGTCCTCACCCTACTGGATAACTGGTTCTCGCAGAAGTGGGCAGCCTCTTCACACCAGAGCTAGAGAGGCTGCCCCCAGCCCCGGGCCTTCTCAATGTCTGAATGTCTTGAAGGCTCTCTCCTGACTTGGGTTAGGAGGCAGGGGTAGAACAAAGGCCTCTGGATCTGATTCCTGCCTCTCTCTGTAACTCCTTTTCTCCCACTATTCTGTGGATGTGGAAAGGCTGTGTGACAGGCCCTCGACAGGAAAAGCAATGCCGAGGATAGGTCAGTCCTGGGGAGACCCCTGTGGAATGCAGACTGCCCACTAAGTTAGTTGAATTTAAAGTTAGGTTAGTATTTTCAGGCCTGTGGCATAGCTATAAACCCAGATGATGGAGGAGTTCATGGCATCTAAGGCAGGGATTTGAACTCAGAAATCAGTAAAGTGGCTTCTCACATCCCAGATGGTAGGCGAGTAGCAGCAGTGCTCTTCTGGTCTGATGAGAAGAGGTTAGGCTGGTTTCATGAGGGACAAGCCTATCATATCTACTGTACCAGCAACATCTCATCCCGATTCCCAATATTAATTAAACCTTTGATTTCGCCATGTCCAGGGGTCATATTTCTGCCTATCTACTAACTCAAGAGGATCTTGGGCTCCCAGATTTCCCTTTCCTTTTACTAGCCCTATTATCTATTTATCAATCTCTCATCTACCTACTTACCTACCTATCCTGCCTACCTGTTAGCCTACCTCTCTATCCAGGACTTCCAGTAAATGCAGGTTCAGTATAAACGAAGCTGAAGCTTTGCTTCCTCTGCCTCATAGTGTTTTCACAGGAGTTGTAAGAAAATGTTTCAAATTAAAAATTATACAGATAAATCATATTTCAATTATATATGTACATGCTTTTTCTGACGGTATGCTATGTATTCATCTGCTGTCTTTATATTCTTTAAATGAAGAAAATAGGTTGAACAATTAACATTTCCTTACAATAACTCAAATTTGTTAAAATGCGTTGACATCCAACTCAAATGATCTTTGTTCCTAGGAGGCCCAACTCTGTGGGGGAGGGGCGTCTGCCATGACTGAGGCACTCCACCCCTACGGAGGTAGTCTGCCATTGCCGAGGCAACCCGCCATAACAGAGAGAGTCCACCATTACAGAGGCGGGCCACCATTGCCGAGGCAGTTCTAACCACACCCATATAAACAGGACTGCAGGGAAGTTCACACGGCAGCAGGGCGGAGCCCACGGCAGCTCAGCAAAGCCTCTGCAGGCAGACAGTGACTAGGCTGCCTCCTTCCTGGGAAGGGCATCCCTGAAAAAAAAAAAAAAGGCAGCAGCACAATGGAAACTCATAAATAAAGCCCTAACGCCCCGGGACAGAGCACCTGGGGAAAAACAAAAAGGGGTTTATGAGTTCTGCTGCAGCAGCTCTGAATGAACAATGAAGCTCACAGCTCAGCACTTGAGCTCCTATAAAGGACAGACTGTCTCCTCAAACAGCTCCCTGGCCCTCAAATATCCAAAGAGTCACCTCACAAAGGACTAATCAGACTGACATTGGGCGGGCATCATTCTGGGACAAAGATAGCAGAAGAAGAAACTGGTAGCAACCCTTACTGTTCTGCAGCTGCTGCAGGTGATCCCAAGGCAAGCAGGGCCTGGAGTGGACCTCAGCAGTCCTACAGCAAAGGGGCCAGACTGTTAGAAGGA